GGGCTTTATGTCTTCATGAAGATTTTTCCCACTCAAAGTTCGAATTGTACATTTATCTTGTTCAAATGCATTCAAAAGTTGAAGATTAAAGGAGAACTCCAGTGATTTTTTGATATTCACCATCTTCGATAAAAACTTCAACATATGCTCTCTTTGGAAACTTGATATGTGCCAACTTATACAACCGCAAGTCGATTAGTAGTTAAGAAAATGGATTTGTATAATTGGTGGTGAATTCCGAAACACGCCTGTGAAGGTGGGCCGCCCTGTGCGTGTGACGTAACGTGCCACATTTTTCACAACGCCGCCTAGCCCAGTAGACGGATGCAGCGCACTTCCTTCTACGAGGCGACGATGACGCGAGCATGGGTGTGCGCACTTGCGGAGAAAAAGGGGAAAGGGTAGCCACCCCCCCCCCCCCCCTAGCCACCTGCTGGGTACGCATTCTCTTGGGGCGATGCGGGCTTGGGAGCGCGCGGCGTTGCGTGCCCAACCCATACCCAACCGGAATGCCTTTTAGTTGGCGCCACGGTGGCACGCACGCAAACGCAAGCCGCACGAAGGTCACACTAGAGTGCCTCGATGCGCGCGGGCATCAAGGCACCCTAGGTCACACTAAAGCCCCTAGATATCTAGGGGCTTTAGGTCACACGTGCTCGCAGCGCCATAGCGTCTTGTCACGTAAGTTTTATTTAATTATTTTTATGATTGAAAATGTAAAATTAAACATACATAGTGATCAGGACACGTTTTTTTATTGTGTACAGTGTCCTGGTATACGAAAAAAATGAAAAATACAAGGTTACTATAACGACAGTGTCGACATCTTGTGACACTTCGTGCAACCACAGTCATGAGCTTGTTAGCTTACGCGTAATGCTTCTGAGATGAAAACAAATAAAAACGTTACTCATTTGTAATATTGTCGCTGCGCAGTTTTTGCATCAGATGTACAATGCACAATGTTTCTGCAATAACAATGTTGTGGTTGTCTGTTTCAATATAGCTGCGCTTGATGGCGCCACCTGTTCAGCTTGTCGGGGCTGGCATATATTTAGTTTCTATGTTCCAGGCCATTCTAGCTTTGGTAATCTGGCTGAAACCGTGTAATCGCTATAAGCGCTCGCACTTTGGCTTATTTTAACTCGACGGCTAGAGTATCCGCAGTGCGGATACTGTGAGTTCTTGCAAAGGCGGACCTTACAAGGCGGCCGATCCATGCTGTCCGAGATTTCGCGCCTCTGTGTCATGCTATTTGTATACGCAAAGCGATCTTCTTCTTAAACTCTGTCCACGTACTCATCCTTCCTCCTCCACCCTCCTATCAAATTCATCTGATTTAGCGTTGCCTCCAAGATCGGAGGCATTGCATGCTTTTAGCACTTCGTGCATTTGCATTTACACAGCCTCCGTGATTAGTCCTTCCCTTTGACCAAGCGACGATGTCATTTGATAGCGCCATCACGTGATGGTCCATTATGTGACGTGACAGATTCTGCCGGTCTGTGACGCTACGATGAAGTCACATGACGACGCATTTCCTTCATGACATTTTACTTTTCATCGCTGGTGTCGACGCGCTGACGTGGCACACCAACGGTCAATTTGAGTGATGATTGATATGTTGAGTTTAACGTCCCAAAACCACTATATGATTATGAGAGACGCCGTAGTGGAGGGCTCCGGAAATTTTGACCACCTGGGGTTCTTTAACGTGCACCCAAATCTGAGCACACGGGCCTACAACATTTCCGCCTCCATCGGAAATGCAGCCGCCGCAGCTGGGATTCGATCCAGCGACCTGCGGGTCAGCAGCCGAGTACCTTAGCCACTAGACCACCGCGGCGGGGCAACGGTCAATTTCCGCCTTTGATGAGGCATGCTAAGCCTATTCGCCTCTGAAGCATTTCTGACTGCGCGCCTGATTAAGTATAATTGATTCTCTTTACCTCAGGCACGACTGCGAGGGCCGTCCCTACGCCACGTGCTTGAGCCTCGATGTGGTAGTGGCTGGTGGTACTGTCGAAGCAGGAGCCTCGTCGTTCGCTGCAGCTGGAACGCGAAATAGCCTCTCCAGAAGGAGGACGATGCATATGCCGGCGATGGTGAGACCAATCACCATGGCCGTAAGTGTGCCAGTCAATGGGGAGGGACACTGCGATGGCAGGGTTGACGCGTGCAGACCGTGGTTCTGGCAGACCAACGACAACTGGTATGGTGATGATGACCTTGTCTTGTCGCCTAGAAGATCTAGGCTCATACCCACAAGGCGGATTGGCCACACTGTACCTTGTAATGGAAATTTTTTATACAACGATTGCTAAAAAAGAGAGATATTTAACAGCTTGTTGTCTCGTGCTCATGGGGTGGACTTTAATTATCTCCTTTCACTTCGATCGTGGCAGACCGTCGCCGAAGCGACCACCTCTTTCGGTGGCGCTCACCTCTCTTTGTGCGACATTGTGGTCTTGCTCATTCGTTTTAGTATTTTCACTTTTTTACAGCAGAGCTGTCCTTGTCTGATGCTGATAACCTCTGATGGATGGCGCTTACCCACAGAGGGGGATGGGCCAAGAACCGGGCGGCAGGATAATTAAATGAAACTAAATTGAAAATGAAGCCAATCTGAAAAAGTAGCTTAAAATAATACTACCAAAAAGCAAAAATGTTTGCTGAGCAAGCGGTCAAACCATCTTTTGTTTTTGAAAGACATAACTACGAATCATAAACTAAAGATCTGAAAAAGTAGGGGTTCACTAGCATGGTAATCTTTTAGTTGCGTTGATGTAATCAAACACAGCGGAGCATACATCCCTGTGGCAGTAACCAAATGAAGTTCCGCCAAGTGATAAAATTACTGGTAGGTTTACTTGTATTCCTAGCTTTTGTAATGGGGCTACTAAAAAATCTTTTTCTCTGGTAAGAATAACGATGACAGAATAAAAAGAAATGTTCAATTGTTTCAATTTCGTTGCACCAAATGCATAGCGGTGACGCCTTGAGCCGAGCTTTATTAAGGTAATAATTTAGTTGTGGAACTGCACAGCGCAATCTGGTATAAGTGACCTCTAACTGGCGAGATACACACCACTGTTTATTCCAGCAATAGTTCAAATGCTCGAAATCTTTGAATTTATCCAAATTACCTTTTCTCCATTGCAGGCAAGCATTTCGGAACCTTAGCGCGGTTACGTAAGCCGTATCTGGCAAAACTGGGATGGTGGGCCCACCCAGGGATACTGCTGCTAAAGAGTCCGCCATTTCGTTCAAATATAATCCGTGGTGGCCTGGTACCCATAGCAAGTGCAGTTTTTTTACGTTTTTTGGTACTAAATGCCGAAACGTATTCATCAGCTCTGAATTTACTGCCGCAGAAAGTGCATTATAAACTGATAACGAATCTGTAATGATATCTGCTAATGATTCGCTTGAGGGTAATTTGCGTAGGGCAAGAACAATGGCCAATAATTCTGCAATGAATACCGGGGTATAATCTGGGAGTCGAATCGAAAAGGACCAGTCCAAAGAAGAAGAGAAGATGCCAACCCCAGCCTTTTCTTTTGTCTACCCTGTTACATCATCGTCGTCGTAGTAGTAGTAGTTGTAGTAGTAGTAATAGTGTAACAATAGTGATTTTAGTAATCGTGATGGTACTAGCAGCAGTAGCAGTAGGCGCTACGCAGGTCAAGTGATCGGAAGGGTGAACAAAGAAGCAAATAATACGAGATGATGAAAAAATGATTATGTAATTTTGTGTCTAAAGCAATCATCATAATTATTACAGCTTAGCTCTCCGGCAGCGTTCATGGCGTGCAACCGCTTTATTGTTAATATTGTTATTACTTTTTGCTTTGGACAGCACCTCGTGTGGGACAAGGTTCGTTTGGAATATCGCAATTTAAGGAATACGTTTCTTTAATCGTAATATTTTCACCGGTCGGAAGTCTACCCAATTGCTGAAGAAGGAACTCCCGTTATTCTGCTGGCTTTTTCGAAATTTAGTACCTACGAAATGACGTCTTTTAGTTTGTAATTCGTAGATGCTTTTATCAGAAAACAGAGATGGTTTGACCGCTTGCTCACTAACCATTTTTATTTATTCAAACTTTTATCAATATACTATTTTTCAAGATTGGATTAGTTTCATTACCTTAAGCATCCTACCACTTGGTTCTTGGCACATCCCCCTTGGTAGATGAGCGCCAACCATAAGAGGTCATCTTAATCATCATCATTTCTGTCATAATCATGACATCTGTCTATCACTTGCTATGCGTGTTGAAAAGGGGTTATAACTTCCTTGCCACTTGGTGGTGAATGAAGCGCTCGGCTTGAAATAGGGTTATTTTTACGGGGACACGAACTTGAAATTGAAACTCGCGCTGTTTGTGCTCTCCCTCTTATATAGGTATAGGGTTCATTCTGAATTTTTCACAGTAGTAATATTGTGAAACGCTTTATTATTACCAGGTTTGTTATTTAAATTTATTTATAAAATATAAATATGCAATGAGCAGCACAAATTTTACTGGAAATTTTGTATTATCAGCCACAGTTTATTAGTTTCCAAGCGTGTCCTCACATTCCGCGCAAGGTGTCAGTAGCTGGTAGGTTGGTTGTATAAAGATGCATGCTTTCCTTATTCAAAAGCTCCGCGTAAAGCCAATAGAAGTAATTTTGAGTCTTTATGTATGTGGGATAACTACAGCTTGTAGATGGTCATTTTTAAGGATTTTACTCTGTGATTTTACTTTTATGGTACATGACTCACAATCGTAGCAGACGACGCGGCATGGCTGCGTACGAAAACAAGCATTTCATTCAGCAGCTGTCTCTACGCATACCTGGACGTTTACAGCTGACATACTGATTACTTTTGATAGATTTCTGCGTAGTTCCTCGTGCCCTGACAGGTAGAAAATTGGATACGAAAGTGAGCGCCCCGGGAGGCAAGCTAGCCGGCCATGAGCCAGCTGTTGTATTTTTGATTGCCGCAGTTGATATGGCGACTCCAACGGGGAGGGACCGGTCGGGTTGCGATCCTGCCGAGAAATTGCTCATTTCGCCCGAAAACTGCGCCTTCCGGGGTGAAGGGAACGCCAACATCGTCGTAACGCTAAAAAACGTGAGCCGTCGTGTCGTGCATCTTCTCTCTCTCTCTCTTTTTTTTTTACCCCTGTTACGAATGTTGTGCTGCGATGCGCGCATACATGCCGGAAGCAAGCATGTCCGCGTTGTGTGTCAGCTTGTTTGATGTAAGCTATCGGCATTCCACTCGCGATCGTCGAAATCGTCGCTGTAATTCTGCAGTACTAACCTCCGTGTTAGCTCAATCACGTCGTTCACAATGTGAAACTGCTTAGTACGTTTAGTACGAGTGGTCTCAAAGGTGCCGGTTGGCGCGTTTTTTTCGTGCCGACTGCGACTTACTTTTATTTTACTCCTGCGTAATGTAGTAATACGGCGCATCTTTAACGTAGTTTCATCTGAGGGATTCTTGAGACGCAGTCGGGGAAAGATGCCGGCTACGCAATCCGATCAGACAATAGCGCAGCAAATGCCATTCCGCCGAGGATGTTTACGCGACGGGAGCTGTTTACCGTGTTGGAAAATGACCTTCGTTCGATTGTCTTTTAGCCATCCAGAAAAAAAAAAAGCTTACGTTTTCCCTTTTATCTCTTTCGCAGGAGGACAGAGTTCTTCGGCTTCGTAAGAGTGCCACATTCACGGAGGTAATGATTAACGGCAGGCCTTTGTTCTTGTCTTGTCTTTATCTCAAGTCACAGTACACGCACCCTTTTTCTTGAAGGAAAAAAAAAAATCAACCAATGGCTACTGGGTGTTGCATGCCATATGTCGTTTTGTTTTTGTGTAGAACATACTCAAAGAAGGTTACTGGCAAGGTCAATGCACTGTGAGCCTCAAGAAAACATTATAAAAGTCTGTGATATGGTGGTGAAGGAAATTGTAATGCTTGCGAAAAGGAGCTCTGCAAGCCAGTCACCTCAAAATTATCCTAGGGCTCTTGTTTTTCAGATTGTTTGTATAGAGCTTCTTCATATTCATTTCAGGACACGATATCACTCTTAGGAGAGAGTCTACAGAAATGCCATATGGAGGCAGACTTTATTGAGAATGTCATGAAACCTCTTTTCGGAAGTCGGTTCGTCCATCCACCGGCAAGTTTTATTTTTCATTGCTACGAACGCATGAGGTTCTGGCTGTTGAGTATTGCATGTCATATTGAGTGCCGAGCGATGGCTTTGCTTTGATTCCTTTTTAAAAAAATGTGTTAGACAGTAATGTCATTTTTCAACAGGTTCTCGTTCGATTGACTGCTGAAAATGTGAGGCTCATCAATAGGGCTGTGCACTTCGAAAGACCACGTAAGAAAAATTTCTTTACAGCAAGCAGGGCTTTTGTTTTTCTGTAACGGTGGTGCACTCGCTTTTGAGCATGCAAGGCCTTGAATTCACTTGCATTTACTGTCAGAGTTGTTGAGGGTCAGTGCACTTAATCCTACAACGCTTTTTCGTCTGCATTTTGCAGCACCGAAGTGCATGTAGAGCTGAATACTGCGATGAACACAAAAACGATTATCGAAATTCATGCATTGTAAAGGGAGTTGTTAGTTTTCAAACTTCAAATTTCTTTTTCTACTGACCTCGAAGGCCGTTTACAATCGCCACGCGCCTCTTACACAGACATATCAGACGACTCTCCTCGTGGTGGTCGTTGCGCAACGCTCCTGGTGTCGCATTGCAGTTGTTTTCTTTTTTTCATATTTATAAACAAACTCTTTTGCAGTTTGACTGCGCGCCTGATTAAGGTACAATTGATTCTCTTATAATTTTTATTGTATAGTATGGGCTAGCTGGAACCATATGAATATTACTTGCGACTGGTCGCATTAAACCAATTGGTATGTGCAGCCGATGTCACTTCACATGATGAAGTGTCAGTTCCGTTCACAAAAATAGCTCTTGCACGTCGCTTCTCTCCGAAAACAGTGGGGTTTCTCTGTTGAGGTAAAAATATAACAGCTTCAATTTTGGCAATGCCACGTGTGCAACGTTAGCAGTGCATTGCATGGTTTGAGGATAAGCGATGAAAACAGCACAATCAATTTTGCTTTGCAGGCCTCTTTAAGTAGGGTGCTTTACATAAGTTTGTGTTTCAGTTGTGTAGTACAACATTCCATTAAAAGAATATGTGCTTCTCTTGTGCTTGCAGTTATACAGCTTACTCAATCATGTATGTCGTGTGCTTCAAAAGCTTGGTTGATCTTGCCAACTTCATCCATTGTTGTCAGAAATAGGGCACGTATCGACCGATCAGTTCGGATAGTTACGTTGGTGTAATGTTGTGAGGGGGCTTGCACGTTGTGCATGACTGATCCTTCCATGGAGCTTTCATTTAATCAGTGTTGTTCAAAGAATGATCGGAGGATAAAGAATGAATCTTTTTTTTTTTTCTGGTTGGCTGTAATGATGTGTATCTTTCTGGATTACTGACAAAGGTTGGGCTGTCAGAGGAACTAGGCTTATTTTTACTTCACGAATGACAATCCGTGAGCAGTGATATATGTGGCCTACTATGAAGCTTAGTGGTATCTCGCATGATTGACTATCAGCTATGCTCTGAATTCTCTGGCAAGGACAGTACCAGTGCTTGTAAGAGCATAAAGAACAGAATAACCACGGAAGACTGTTGTTTTGCTGTTTAGACAGCATTCTTGACTAGACGACTGTGCTGTACATATTTGCTTATGACAGTCACATTAAACCTCGGAACTCTGCACCAGACACCTGTTACTTTTGGAGCGTCAGTCAGTTTTGACCAGGTGGGAGTAAAGGGCAGAAGTGCCTTGTCCTTAGACTTCAGCTCAGATAGTTAGAACTAGTTTGGAGTCTACCACTATAATTTTTCCTGTAAGCATAACTGCGATTTTTCTTGGCTACATTACGTTACCTTATTTACGTTTGCAGGAGACAGGCATTTGTGTAGAATGTTTTCATGTGTTCCTACAATGCTAACACGCTTAACAAGATGGTGCACGAGCAAATGCATATATTGTGCAGCACCACTGATTAAAGCATAAGCGCTCTGTGTGTTACTATGTTCCTGACACATTCTTGTGCTGTCACGGTTTTTCTAACAGTGCACAGGTTAAAAAAGAATGTCAAGGAAGTTGCCTCTGTGGGGCTCTTGTTTCCTGACCACTGCACTTTGCCGAGCCACCTCCGAAAATATGCTGAAGGTCCTGTGATCTCCATTGAAATTAAGGTACGTGTCTGAGGTACATCTTAAAAAAATCTTAGGCAGATACCTCTTTGAACTTGTCTAACTTCACGTTCATTCTTATTTACCAGCCAAAGCAGGGATTCCTGCCTAGTCCTCATGATCTCCCCTTCGAGCACAAGCTTCGGTCATCGGTCTGCAGATTTCACCTTTCCCAGACATCCAAGGTATGCAGAGTAATTGAGGTGATAGAAGATACTGGGCCCTTGTTCATGAAAGTGATGCTAGAAAGGGCTAACTTCAGCTCATGACAGTAGATGACATACACTATACTCAGTTGTAGCATGCCTTTGGTTTTAACACCCTTGATGTTAATAACCAAAAATGAAAATCTAGTGCATCTGCTGCATTTCAAGAAATGCAGGGTACAAACCTTTGGCTTACCAGACAGAACAGTGGTGTTTCTTGAAAAAAAAAAAAGAAAGAAAAAAAAAGTGCCATTGTGAACAGGGCATCACTCATTGTCACTATGCTTTTATCACCTTCGGAAACCGTATGTTTACTGTCAATAGGATTCTTAAATACTGTTTTTCTTGAAGAACTTTCAGCCCATGACCGTGTAAACCTTCAGAACAGGCACGAACAGTGTCTTTGCAACAGTAGCAGTGTACATGTAAAGTCAATTACAGGGACTTGTACACCGTAAATTGTCATTCTATTAATGGCTTATGGGGACTTGCTAGTGATAACTTGTCATTGTTGTAGTTTTGATTTCATATCAAGTTGTAATAAGTATCATTATTCAGATCCCCCCCCCCCCCCCCCCCCCCAAAAGAAGAAAAAGTACAGAAGTCTGGATTATAGTTCGGTAGCAGCAGTATATGCCAAAAGAATCGCAGGTGAAGACACTGTGCATTTTGAAAGCTGCGGTGTATTACCGAAGAATATCGCTGACGAGAGCTCATGTTCTTTCTAAAGTCAACTTGGTGTCTTGTTGCTATTCACTGTGTTCCACATTATAAATAAATTTTGTTACACTATTGTTCATTTTAATGGTCAACTACTATTAATCTGTTAAATTTATATAATGCAAAGTGTACCTTTCTAAGCAGGTTTTGCACATTTTCACGGCAACATTCCTGTGTGACATTTACTGTGTCTCTTTCTAGCGCACAGAAGTTCAGTTAAAGGTTCAGTACGAGAGATCTCTTAAGATATTTATGAGCATTATTATGTCAGTCTTGCTTGACGTTAGCATTATGTTACCTTTTGCATTCCTGTGAGCTTGCCCGACAGCAAAACGAACTTTCCTTTCAGGTCAGCAAAGGGCGTATATCATCAGTCAGCATGTACTGCCCTCTGGATCTCTTCAGTGGGTAAGCCGCTGTCTTCTTGTCTCTCAAAAGGCAGGTAGTTTTGTCTGATGTAATGTATGTAGGATTTGCATTTAAAAGAACTTGTAGTGCTTAAGCAAGATTACCCTATCGTTTTCCTGCTGCATGGAATAAATCTTATGCCTGATAATGCATTCATCGAATTCCTTCTTTTTCTTTTTTTCATTTAATCTGTAAAGAAGAAACCTGGTGCTAAGGAGAAAAAGCATGTTAATAGTCATTCAGTGGCTCAAGTACAGCAAAAATACCAATGCGCTTTGGATGGTATTATTTACGGTGATATTTTTCTTTATTGATTTATTAACAGGTGTCCAAAGCGAATGAAAAGTGCTCTGAGGGAGCTCCTCTACCACCCACAAAATAATCTCAGGGTCTTTAAGGTAAGTCTGATTGGGCCATCCCTTTGTATTAAGTTTAATTTTGATATCTCTACATCATGGTCTCTCAAGCATTTAGGAATGGCAATGAAAATTTCACAGCCAAGCACAGTATAGCAATTCCTTTGCTTCAACCAATTTTTCGTGCAGTTATTAACCACTCTTAATAAGCCAGTGATGGTGATAACACATGGAAGTACAGCTTCGACCACTGGCCAAGCTCAAAAATGGAAAGGATTTGTGTAGAATCGTTACATTAACCTGGCCCTGGTTCGTGATTTGTTTGAACTTTTCGCACTCGCGTTCATTGTTGTTTGTTATAACTCGGTCTCTTGCAGAACAAGAAACTTGTGTTTAGTGAAGAATCAAGAGCCAACCTAGAAGATGCACTGAAGGATTTCTTTCTCGAGTCGAGTCTAGTCAGGTAAGCCGCTGCTGCCTGAAGGTTTGTTGCATCTCCACTGCATTGCTTTGAAGCTAGGTGGGAACGCAGGCTAAGTTGCACACCACAATTGTTTTGCAAACTTTGCCCATCTTCTAGCAAGCCCTTTTAATGAGACTTGCTGATCTCCCTGTAGTATCGTTGCAGAGTGTTGCTAATGCCACGCTATGATATGTCTGCCTGTTGTACTTTGCGTACAACAGGTGTCATAGATTTGTGAAGACGCTGCTATTCATTGTGGCTGCGCTTGTATGTATAAGGATATCATTGTAACATTTTGTGATTCTATGTTACTGTGTTTAGTTTCTTCAGCGCTTTCTTAAGTTCTTGGATTTCCTTCTTCAGTCGAGAAGACAACTTGTGCCACCTGGTCATGAAAATTTTGCGGCACTCGTATCTTGAAACTGGGGCGGTCAGTGCAACCTCTGGTGTCGGTGACGTCGTCGTGCCGCAGTCCTGCCCGTCTTCACATCCGTGCACTTGCACAACTAGTGAGTGGGCCAATCTATGCTTTCGTGTAAGTGTTCTCTCTATTAAAATGTGAGGTTACTCAGGACGCAACTTTTGTGAGTTTATGGAAGTGCCTATATTTGTAGCCTTTTGAAGGTGGCTGTGGGCACAAGCATATCAAATGGTGACCTCTTCTGCGTTAGCGATCTTGTTGCCTTGTAGATTTCTGAATGGTCTAAGAAAGGTAACATTTCATTTTGAAAAGTTATGGCCAAAAAAATGAGAAGAGCTGGTGTAACTTCTATACTGTGGTAAGAGAATCATAGCAAAATACATTTTTGGGTTAGTTTATGCCTAGTTTTCAAGAATAGTAATTTGCAGACGCTACAATAGAAAAGGGAAAACAAAAATGGCATTCCTTCTGCCTGTCCTTGTTTTTTCATTTTAGGGCCACTAACTTTAGCATTGAAGAGTTATAAGAGCATAGATGGCATTTTTGTAAACAAGATCTTTTTTCACAGTGCTCAACACAACATTTTGTCACTCTTTTATTAGTACATCAAGTCATAGAGTTTTCGAAAGTTAACTAGAGGAGACTCTGGCACTGCGATAGTTCAGCGACCATGGGAATGATGGGTAGTACATAAATTTGCCGAGTCTTGCCTAGTCTTTGTGATTACGTGCTTTGAAAGTACTTCTGGATTCGTTTATTGCTACATTTTGATTTCGTTTTGAATAAAAGAAGAGCAAACTATTTTAAACTGTGTGACCAGATTTGAATTGGTGAGCCTAAATGTTTAAGGTGCTGAAGTCCAACTGCTGAACATTTGCTGATTGTCGTTTCATGGCAAAGCAGCTCAAAGCCAAGCAAAGCCAAATTGAGCCGGAAGTACAATGATTAGACAAGTCCATGTACTACATATCATTCTCATGCTCCCTGAAGCACCACGCATTGCAGCTCCCGTAGACCCTAGTGCCAGAGTTCCCTCTAATGTATTTATAGGAAACTCTATGCATCAAGTGGCACATGGCTCAAAACATTGAGCACGCTTGAATTCACTTTCTTACATGCAAGTAAATCTGTTAAAGATGTTCCAGCCAGAACCATGTGTTCAGGCAGACATGTGTTGTGTAAAGGAAAGTGAAAAGCTCATTGCTCGAAAGATTGAACAGAACATGCAGCAATTGTAGAATAAAGCTGATTGTAGTTAGCACCCTAGGGAGGCATCCATGATGCTTGATCAAATAGGTCATTGTTTAATTGAAGTTGCCACGTTAGTCATCTATGATTGACGAGATACGTTCATCTTTCTGAAGTAGGCTTTTGCAACACTCGGCATAAAACAAAAATATATTTTGACACGTGACCTAACGGCTCAGTGAGAGTGGGATTCTGCTGCTGTGCAGCAGTTGTTGGGATTGCTAGCTGTTTATGGTGCCTTCCCATGGAAACAGATTTCAATAACCTGAAGGCCTATCATTGCGACACCTGTAAAAGTCAGTTTTTTTTTCATTTGAGATAAAAAGGGAATTCAAAGACTCTTGTTTCTTTCTTCGACACTATGTAATGTGAACCAACAACCAATGAAACTAAGGAAGCTAATGGGGACTTTATTTGTAGTTTTTTAACTGTAGTGTAATAATTATGATATATAGCAATTGTGATAATTATGAGTAGTCTTTTCATCCACTTTCAATTTTTTCATGTTTGTACAATGATTACTGCAATACAGTTAAAATTATAACTATTGCCCCCTAAGCCTTCCTTCGCTTCATTGCCTATTGGTTTTATTTTTACGTATGGGTCATAAAACCTGAGCAGTCTTTCTATGACTTAAGCACATCTCGTGCATAAAAATAAAATAATCTTAAATGGATTTAACAAAGAGTGTTAAGGAGTACAATCTGTTTGTAGCAGTATTCGAAAGAGTGAATGTTATTGCATTTGCCATCTGCTTATTAAAGGGACACTAAAGGCAAATATAAAGTCTATGTTGCTGATGAAATAGTTGTCCAGAATCCCCTTAGTGCTACTTTTGTGCCAAGGAAGTGCTTAGTTTAAAATAAAATTGTGTTTTATTGGCCCGCATTGCGTTAGCGCTCTTCAGATTCCCTGCCTGAAAGCAGTTCGTCTTATGCCACTGTTGCCGTGCCCAACCTTGCCAGCCTTTACTGCGCGGCCGCCGACATTAGTAGCAGCAGGGCGAAAGTAGCGAAAGCCACAGCAGCAACAGCAGTCATTGAACAATTTTTTGCTTGCTTGGTTCAACTGAGCCCAGTTAGTAGCACCACGTATTGATTGATTTGTGGGGTTTAACGTCCCAAAGCCACCATATGCTTATGAGAGACGCCGTAGTGGAGGGCTCCGGAAATTTAGACCACATGGGGTTCTTTAACGTGCACCCAAATCTGAGCACACGGGCCTACAACATTTCCGCCTCCATCAGAAATGCAGCCGCCGCAGCCGGGATTCGAACCCACGCTCTGCGGGTCAGCAGCCGAGTACCTTAGCCACTAGACCACCGCGGCGGGGCACAACGTATCCAGCCTAACCAGGCGAAAATGGAATTTTCGAACCATTGCGCCATTACCCATGGTACCACCAGGCAATTCTTTTTTCTATAAATAAAACCAAATTTGACAAGCAGCATTTTATTCTGTTTCTTGATGCAGGGTAGCCTCTTTTTTTAATTGCAGCTAGTTTGATTACTAGTGATCAATTGTAGTTGGACACTCACACGCCATCGGGATCATTTCGCAAGTTTGCCACTCGTGGCACACACCGTGTGGTACATTTAGCTTAATTTCTCAGTAAGTAGGGCACAGCTGTTGATAATAGTGTAGTTTTTGACACCATGCATTAAGCTTTCACTCAGGCATAAGTTGCTATTTGCCTTTAGTGTTGCTTCAACTCACACTGGGCACCTTCAGCATCCATGGCTTTGACTGTGATCTTCCTTGCATTCAGGAATGAAGGCCGACCACCGGCTTCCTCGTGGGTGTATCTTGGAGCGAGTGCTGCAGGCTCAGCGGCTGGGTTCCATCGACGTCTCTACAGCCTATCCACTATACCTCAGTCTAAAGGACACACTCCACTGTGCCGGAGAGAAACCACCTCTGTAGGTTCTGCAGGCTGCGTTGATGTTGGCTTTCAGTCCATTTTTTTCTAGCAAGAATAAAGCTGGCGTGGCTTCTGAGATGGCATCTAAAGCTGGTATCTCTTCTATCTTGTCATTCAGGCTTGAGTACTTGAAGGACGGCTACCCCGCGTCATCTCTGCCCAAAGCTGTGGGCTGTCATGACCGCCAGAACTACGAGACTGACCACACATTCGCCTGCCGCAAGGTACTTGTTACTGCAGTGTTTCTATACTTCATCAATCGGTATCCATTATTTGTTGATAAGGCAGGTATGAGCACTCTTTTGGTCAGTTGTCTGGTCTTCTCAATGACACTGGAGTTCGAGCTAAGTGCTTCCCATGTCAAGTAGTAGACAGATGCTTGATACTGCAGAATCTGTGCAAAACCCAGGGTGTCGGCAGAGCACGTGCGACACTGCACAACCTCGTGTTTAACTTTGACCTTGTGAGCTTAGACAACCCTGGAGTATACGCCGATGAGCACAACTGAGCAAGGTGACTGCATTTGGCGAGTTGGTAGCATACTGTAACTGCAGACCTCATGAACATTGTAGACACTTAAGCGCAAGATGGCAGCACTAACTGTGTGTGAAACACAATTGATCAAATTTATCTGCCTCGTGCGCATTTTACAGAAGTGGCCAGACTCATCGGTCCCTTTCGTCTTCAAAACACTTGTGAACAGGGTTAAGGAGAAATGCTACTCGAAAACACTTTTTTTTAATATATTCACTAAAGAGCAATAAAAATTCAGCTGCTTATAAAACTTTTCATGCTGATTTCAAATGTATAATTAGTTTTCTTGCCAGTTGCATACTCTGAGTTCTGCAACGTAACAAAGAAAACCTTAAGATTTTTGCCTCTCTTTTCATCACTATACTTCCATAATTTTTTTACCATTGATAGTTCATAATGTTTCAAATAAAGTGTAGGATACAAAAAAACTAATTACGTAGTGCATACAAAATATGTAATAGAGCATACAATTGTGCATACAAATATGTAATATGTATCCATATTTCTGTTACCCTAGCAAAGGGTTACATAGAATTTTTTTATTATATAATAAAAATATTAAAATTTAAACAAAATAACTGCATTTCTCATACTTTGGAAAACATTTGGGTAAAATTTTATGCAGATTGGAGCACCAGGTTCACTCGAAAAAGGAGGGGCTCATTGAAAAAAATGGCAAAATCTGCGTTTTGAGAAAAACGAGTTTTAAAGTGAAAATTGGATGTTTATTTATGAAAGATATTAAATGCGATGAAATTTGCACACATATAAGAACACTCCGTCTCATAGTGGCCATTGCCACTAAAATGCGCCAGCACCATAAATTTGTCCCTCATGGCTCTTTCGAGCTGACTTCTCGCAGACATTTTGCTCAGAGACAGGGCCATGAAACGCTTGCCAAACTGGCTGAGCCTTGTGCCAACTGCAAGTTAGGGAGAAGTTAGAGAGCACTTCAAAATCCCAATAGAGAGTTTTAGCTGGGCGGGTTCGCGAGCGAGCGGGCAAGCGGAAAGGCATCGGAGCGCGTCCGGGTCGCGCTCCACTGCCCTTTCCGCTTGCCCGCTCGCTCGTAAACCCACCCAGCTAAAACAGTGCCGATGCCATGTTGTGGCTGCGCTTGTGCCACGCACTGTTGTATATGCTAATGGCAATGTTGGCCCCACTAGGTTCCCTCATTGTGAGCTCCTTCGACCCCCCAAAATTGGCGCAGATGGCATTCATTGCAGCATCACAGACTTTCTGACTGATGGCTGTGAATGACTTTTGATGCATTTGCTTTTGCAAGCAAACAAATGCTGCCGATCGGGCCAGCTACTCGTAGCCCATTCCTAGAGTGCGCAGCACAACAGCTTTCACGTTGACAGTGTAGCTATCGTGCGAGCTACTGCTTTCTTCATCCATGACAGATAAACACGCAAGAAAAGCGTTGTTCAGCTGCGCTGCTCGACAAGACGTGGGCCTTGTAAGTAGGCTTCAAAGCACATACATGCTCGCAGCGGCCAGAGGCGGTCCCTTATATGTACCACGTGATTTAAAAGTCAGTCGCGGCGCTTCATAAATGCGCCAAAAGCGTGCTTTTTTATTATTTGTTGCACTGCAGCAACGTGAAAACTGTCGTTATTCGTAGAGTGAGGCTTGGCTCTTCGCTTCATGCGATTGACAATGGTGAGCAACGGCGCATTATTAGCGGCCAGGTCCTTGAAGGCTGCACACTGTCGGCCTTCTAACAGCCGCCTTGTGCTCTTTAGACGCAATTTCGAAGCATTTTCAGTTGAGCCTCCACATAGATTTTTTTTCCAGAACAGTAGAGGTACTAATCTTGTCAAAGCAGGTGAAAACCAAAAATCGGCAATTTTTAAGAAAACCCGCATTTTTTTTTACCTGCATCTCCTCCTTGTTTTTGTGGCACACATTCTGTTGGTAGGTGAATGCGATGCTCATTTTTATTTATTTTTCATGCCTCTTCAGTTTTTTGCTTTTGTTTTCTAGTGTGCTCCACCTTGAGCGTTTGCCTCGCACATTGTGAAACTAATCAATGCTTAAATGAATGCTAGACAGAAACAGGATATACTGAAACTTGATCCCCAGAAATTTATGCTGCAGGTTTCTGTGTCAAAATAGCTGGTAAACAAAGAGGTTAGGCTAATAATTGGGAAAAGCAAGGTTGACCCTAATAAAACTTATTTTTTTCTGACACACACTAATACAATTATAAGATGAAATGCTAAGGCTCCGGTGCTGTCATTCTTGCATGTAATTTTTTTATTTATGTGATATAATAATTCTTTAATACAGCTGGTTGCCTCTCTAGAGTATCATAACACCAATGTTTTATATGCCTCTTGCTTCACAAAATTTTGTAAATTGGCTGCTTCCAGATCTGGGAGTTCCTAGTGGCACTAACAGCCCGTGACTGCTCAATCATGCTGTCTCTGCAGAGGTTGTCATCTCAGTAAGCTACTGTTTTTTAACTTCTTTCTTTGCTTTATATTACTGGCTGTTACTACATATAGCTAGTACTATGGCAGTTCTCTGTTGATATTACTGCCAACTAACTATCTACTATTCGCAGTGTGAAAACTAGTTCTTTGGTAGCACCTGTACACTTTATTTCATTTAGTCTTGCACCAATTTCTATGAAATACTTATGGCTACGAGTTGCTTATTGTTGTTTTTGATGCACTAAATATTATGATAGTAGTACCTGTATAATGTACAATGCAAATGTGTGGGCAGCCCGTGGGCATAAATTCCGCCCAGAGCCTTTACGCTAGGCTTCAGAAGTTTTGAAGCAAATACTAGATTTCTTGGGCTTGTCTGCGTGTTTTTATGGCTAAGCTTCATTCACGAATGCAAGAGCGCCGATGCCAAAAGTTGGGGGATGCATTTGGTAGTAGCTGAAGACTGCTAAACATCCCTGGCCAAAAATGTTTTGGGGACTGCAACTTTAATTTACGTTTTCCACGTAGTGTGCTCACTTTGGCAGTTGTCTTCAGTCATTTTGGCTATATGTCTCTGGTCAGAAATGTTTTGTTGACTGTAACTTTGTGCGGTCCACATGACGTGCTCACTTATTTTGGCAGTTGTCTGCAGTCGTTCTGACAATTCTGGTAAAAGTTTCTGGGCTTTGGTCTTCCTGCAATTGCTTACAATTCACACATGTGGTATGATCCCGCATCTTTACTACTATTTGCTTAGTGAAGAGTAGGCATCGCTGAAGCATATGTCTGTTACTGCAGGTTGTTGTCAAGAATGTGAAGGTGAAGGAAGCTAGTCGTCATGTTTCATATGAAGGCTAAACTGATAACATCCCCTCCCGTATCATATGTTCCATCCGCGGATAAAAGCGAGAGGGGGGACGATGAACGCGACTGAAGCAGAGAATTATTGAGCTAGCCCATCTCTGCCGTTCAGAGGCGCATGTGACAACATCCTCCCGCGTGTTAAGAGATTGCTGCTCACGCAGAGAGGAAGTGCCCCACTCATTTTGGATGAGCATGAAGGGAAGTGGGGGTCAGTGGGGGCTGTCACTTGAGCAGCAACTGTGAACATTGAGTCTGAGGACGGTGTCGCAGGACCGCTTGTAAATAAAGCCTTCTGCGTGCCATGCTCTCAACATGAAGAGACTGCGGAAAAGTGCATCTTTTCCTGGAGTGGCCATATTTTTGACATCAGCATCTTGTAAAGTTAGGAGAGAGAGCATTCAAAAGTTAGCTGCCAGCCTTACTTCATATAACATTACAATTTGTTGCTTGCTATCACATTTATTGCTTTACCCTTGCTTTGAAAGTGTGTTTTTTTTTAGTGATTGTATTGAAGTTTTATAGGGACACTGTGGAACATTGTCATGACAGTACAAGAGCACTGCCATATTCTCGTGCATATACTTACTGCTATGGATCTAATTATGCACATTAGCTGTGACAGCCACATTTTGATGGAGGCAAGCTGGAGGCTGTGTAAAGTCAATGCACTTCAAAAAACACCAGATGGTTGAAATTTCCGGAGCCCTTCACTACGGCATTTCACATAATCATATCACGGTTACGGGACATAAAACTCCAGACATCATCCTAATGTTATCTAATTATGCACATAAATGCAACAGTCTGGTTATAAATTAATAAAACCAATAGACAGTTAGGCCAAGGAAAGCACAGGGAACATTATTTCTGGCTCCTGCTGTGATGATTCTGAGCATATACCACCGACGGAAAGGACTATTTTTCATTCACGTTAGTTCCTTTAAATTTAAGCGAGAATGTTTAAAATACAGTTAAGAAACCCCAAATAACATTTTCTGTGCTCTTCTTGGCTTAGTTGTCTGTTGGTTTCATTTATTCATAACATGGAAAATGAGCGTTGCCTGAACAATTTGTCAACAGTCTAGTTAAGAGTGCCAGGGAGGCACTGGAACCCAGCGCAATTAGTGTGATTAGAGGACTCGATATATGTTTGTATATGTTGGGTACATGGGAATTATGAGGGACTCCATAACATACTGATCATATCTGCGACTTTTATTTCAGGGTTGAACCAACGTTTTTGCATAGCCTGAAAATGTTTGTTGTCCTCCTTTCTTGTGCTTTTTTGATCGCCGTTTGTTCGCCGTTTTTGTGTGATTTGTCACAGTGACTCACTTGTGTAATGTGCATTGAAGAAGTTCAAGTGGTAAAAATCAATTAGAAGCAGCTCTACACTGCTGCATTCTTTATTGCCAACTGTTATTAAGCCCCACAACTAAGTTCAAGCGTAATTGTGTGCGTATGCTGTGCCTTGACAATACTCTTTTCCTTACCAATACTCTTTTCCTTACCAAATGCTTTGCAGGGCTAAGGTTCACACTTGGGAAGAGGAGTATGTTGTGGAAGATGCCTATGGACAGGCTTTTCTCTTCTCTCTAGCTGTTGTAGACTTAGATCCTAAGTCTGTCGACAAGCTCGAGAAGGTCTACTTTGACGACTGCAGCATGATTAGGACTGCCTGTGCATGACCATTGGAAGGCCCAGTGAAGTCAGGCATGCAAGTCAACAGTTCTCACCATCATAGGTGATGTTCTGTGCTGTAGGCATGAATGAGCATTTTGAATGGTGGAAAGGTTGTGCTTGAATACTCCGTAAAGCACGCAAGACAATCAAGGTTTTAATCGGATCTTATCAATGTAAATTTTTATTCTCCTTCATGCCGGCAGATTTGCCTCCTCCTATCTTTTCTTAAGCCGTTTTAAGGTTCAAAATATTAGCTGCCATCAGAAAATGTGCTTTTTTTGGATAAAATTTTCACATGTATAGCCATTGCACCATCTCCATGGTGATGTGAAAGATTGTGCTATATGTATGAAACATATGCCATCTAATAAGAATGTCTGTTGCTCGGCTCTAGCCATGGTTTAGAAGCCTTTGCTTTTGTCAGAATGACGTTTGCCATGTGCGGAAGTTGCTGATATGTCGAGTTTGTTCGCATTTTTTTTCAGCTAACCTTTAAAAAATGTTTGCCCTAAATGACATGGTGAAGGCAGATCCTTTATTATAGGGATACTGAACGAAATTTTTGCTGCCAAGATTTTCAGCCACATCAAAAAACTGGGTGCTGAAATCAATAGACAGAACCTTTATTTATGCTGAAACTAGAGGGAAATAATAAATTTATTGAGTTTTATCACAAACTGCAGCATCTAGCAGTCGTGCTGTGAACTAGAGGAGGTGACATTTGGTAGCGTTTAATGCTCCGGAAACTGGCATGCCAACAGTGCGAGCCGCTTGTGACATCTCTGTCTGCTTGGCCTCCTCCATGGTTTCTAGAGCCAGAACAATTGGCACTAGCAGCAAACAATGCTCCCTGTTGGGGTAGAGATTCTAATTAATGGGCCATGCCACAGAATTTTTGTGGAAGGGGGACATAGAAAAAGGGAACTGGCAGGACAGGAAAACGGGACACCCTGCATCCTCCACGGTGGCTCCCCTGTCACAGCTCTAGCTGGCGTGCAGCTGCCGTGCGCCGAAAATCTTCCGATATTGCCGCCAACTGTTCGAAAATATGTTAATTAAACTGTTTATCAGGGCAGTCCCATCTTCAGAGTAGAATTTTAATATTTTTGTCAGTTTTTTTAATTTTTGTTCAGTATCTCTTTAAAAATCATGCCTCTTTATCTACCTTCTGAATGTTATGTTCATCTCTAGTCGTTAAACTGATTATATTTCAGTAGGCTACTGAGTGCCTTAATAGTGGCACTGAAATGATCAATTTTGACTAATGAGGTATTGCTTCAAAGATATTTTTGTGCTGATTTGGCGGTAAGAGGGTGATTAGTAGATGATACAAAAATCCAACTTCATTCCTTAATATACAGTGTAAAAAAAAAAAGAAATCCAGCACCAGAATGTCAATTGTGTTATCTTGAATTTCAAGTTTTAGCTTCTCGTATATGTAGTTGGCCCGTTGTGGCAGAGCTAGTTGTCAGAGATTTCTAAGTAAGACTCCACATCCTAGTCCTTTTTAAGTCAGCGTAGTCCATCTTTAGTGAATAATAAATAAACTAAGCCTGGGAGGAAGCTTCAAAGTAAGTGCCGTCACAGTGAACTGTCGTGAGAATTCGATGGCAGTGTCGCACTTGGTCTCATTTTTTAATGTTCCATCGCTTGCTGTCCTTCTTTGTACCTTAGAGCTGAAGTTTTTTTCTTTTGTTTTAATGCCTTTAAGGCATCCTGGAAAGTCACCCGAAGTCTGCAGTTCTGATTGACAATGTCAAAAAAAAGCGTTTTGTTTTACGTTCTTCCTAAATGCTCTAACCTCAGTGGCGTTTCCCAACTTTTGAAGATTTTTTTTTTTTTTGCTGTAAGCATAAATGTACATGTTGCCTTTCTTTAGTCATTCCCTGCTTATTTGTGTATGATTGATGTTTTCTCGAAACATCACAAAATCTCAATATCAGTATTGTGAAGGGAAGTTTTTTTTCTGTACATAGTTCTACATTACTTGCAATGTTCAGGACAGAAGCATGTTAACTGCACACACTCAAAAAGGACATCATTCTATAAAGGAGCTTAGGGCTAGGTCTATTTTTACCGATACAAGAATGTGAAAAAGGTGTAAACATCTTTTTTTTAGTAATTGCAGTGCATTTAATTATGTTCAACTGTACTCTCTTAGCTATACAAATTAGAAATAGAGTAGTACGAGTTGGGCTTTAAATATTTTACTAGATTCTGCCAAAAATTTGTAAATTAGCATGATGTTCTGAATATTGCTACTCCTTGTAACAGAAACAGTGGAATTTTTTAAAGCAGCAATATTACTGTGAAGTTTACATAGATGTTGTACTTATTTGCCAGAGTAGTGTTCGCGTATCACATCTTAAGGGGGGACATGGCTATGAAAATTATCCTTATTATTTATCAAGCCAAAGGGACGAGATTCGGCATGCAGATGTCATTTGTTGTCCTGATTTTAAAACTGAAATCGGTTTCAATTTATCAAATACTACCTTTTAGTTACAACACTTACTCTCACTGTCATCCTGAAATTAATTAGCTAATTAGACATTGGTTTATTTTTAATATTTAAGTAAGCACACAAATTTTTTTTTAATGTCCTGGACATATTGTCTCACCAACAACTTTTACAAAAAGCCAATAACAAAAGTCTGTATGATGTGCACACAAATATAGACAGCTTTACAGCACTCAGCAATGTCTGAGAATCTAAACGCAGGAAACGGAATGGCTATAGCTTAATTTGTTGTGAAATGGCACTGGGATGACTGACAGCAACTGCTCAAAAAATGAAAGCTGAGAAAATGGAGCTCAAAGAAATTGGAGCTAGAAGCGGATAAAACGGAACTCGGGAGGCATTTCTTCGAGAAGCACTTCTCATTTGAGAAATGCATCTTTGTGGCTATCTTGAGCTTTAATCTGTCCTCTTTATGATGATGCCAATATAGTCGCACTGTGCCAAGGGAAAGCTTCAAATTTGCATTTTGCTATGCCTCATTTTCACATTGATTTTGATAACAGCCCACCAGTATTTGTTTTTCAACTTCTACTACTTATCTTGGTCTAAAATCACCCTACGATGTAAAACGCGGTCTCAGAATTACAGAAGAAAAGTAATTGATGAACTGAACATTTTGACCAAATTTTCAATTCCCATTCCCACGTCTCCCCTTAATGCAGTTTACAGTACTGTGTTATGTGCTTTCGACGTCGAGTTGCAGTAAGAATTCTAACAAGCACAAATAAGCACCCAATTCCTATCAACCAATCAAATTTAACTTAATCCTTTTTATGCTGGAATGGTCTGAACTGTTCAAGTGGTTGCTAATTGTAACAATTTATTGTACTCCACTTCTCTCCAAGGTCCCGAAGAAGTGCTTTCTCTTATATCAGTGAAAGGTCTGTTTGATGACTGCATTGTGGTTTTGGCATATGCAACCTAATATTTAGTCTTTTTTCTAAATGAAACTTGCAAACATCTTCCTACTCCCACCCCACCCCCACGCAGACATGGACACATTTTTTTAGACATAGACCATTTCTTAGTATGGGTCATTGTGTATTGTTTGCCACTCTGTGTAGTGAACTTGAAATGATTTACACCTTTTTGTCCAGATGAGCTTTGTATTTCTTTTCGTACAGTAATCCAAGCTTTTCTTTTTCAGTTCGTGATACAATACTGGCACCCTTATCATGCATTTATTCGTGGTTTGTTGAAAATGTTCTTTTGTCATACACATGATCTCACAGGCAGCGTGATTCTGCCTATAAAGCAGAAAAGTGATTCACTTGTCGATGCTGCAATTGAAATAAGTCGTTTCTTATTTCTACCTCATGCAGACGTTCCTTCAAGTTCTGAGCCACTTGGCTTCTTTGCGTCTGTACTTTGGCTCATACGCAAGCAAACAAAAAGGAATGGCGGCTTGCGTGTAGTTGCCTCAGGGTGTAATAGTAATACTACTCTCAAGTAATACTACTCTAGTAATGTAATACTACTCTCAAACTTTATTATAAAGAAGTTGCATCTTATATGAAAATAAGTTTATATTCAAACATTCGTTAAAAAGTAATGTTCCCAATACTATTACAAGACTATTCTTCTTTTGTTTCATTATAATTGATATTTTGTTGTGTCTCGGTTTGTTATATCAAGGTTTGAGTGTACATACAGCCGATCCAAGTAAGAATTTTAAACTGGACTTTTTAAAACCAGTTGTCAACTACCCACGACATAAGTTGTCTTTTAAAAGGTTTGTTATCAATTTCTCAATTTTTCAATTGCTCTTTTTCAACTTTAGTCCACTGGTTAACCTAAGGCCACTGCAAGGTGGGGTTGCATGGTCTCAGTTTAAGTGTGTGATTGAATTTTAGAACTTGTTGGTGCAGATAGAAAACTTTTTGACTCTGTAAGTGAATGATCGCTATGAAAACGTCAGACAAGGGCAGGCTTAGTCCTTTTCTCATGTTCTCTTCGCAGTCGTTTGCTCATGCTCTTAAAAAAATGCTTGCTGTGCGATTGTTGGGCTAGTGTCTTTCATATTGACTTAGCAATGCACTGGCAAGGAATCTTGAGAAGAATTAGCTGTGACAGAGTTTAGTGCAGTTACTTGTACATTTCAAACAATGTTTCCTATAATGGTGCACTAAGGGCATTTTGCTATGCACTAAACTGCTGTCGTGCATTTATTTGTCGAGCTTAAAAAGTAGGTCATGGGTTTGATTGTTGGTTACAGCCAGTGTTTTGAGGGTGGTATGGTGTATCATCACGATGAACATTAACGTGCCAAAGCAAGGCGGCTCACGTCAAGGCTGCCTGGATGGCTAGAAGTAGTCTTTGGCATCATTCGTGCCAGATTCTAAGTAGGACAACCTAAAGGTGATAGCAGTACATGTGCTAAAAATCTTTTTCGAAAGAGCAGTCTTTCTTGGCCTTTAATAAAAAATAGTTCACCATGGCTACTGTTCAGTTGTTGAAGGGACACTAAAGAGAGACATTTTTTTACATATTCGTAAATTACAATTTTACTATTCCAAAAATACCACTTTTATCTTGAGACTATGGTTCGTAAGCAAGCAAATACACAAAAAGAAAATGCAGGTGGAGACGCCACATTGAAGTGAGTTTTCTCACCTAACACTGTGATGTATGTCTTGATGGTACTGTATGCGCTAGGTCCTGCATAGTTTGCAATTGATAATAATGAATTAAAAAATAAAAGGGGCTACTAACTTAACATGCCACTTTTCACAAAAGTTCATTTCCCCCGATGTCACCAAAACATGAAAAATGGATTTTGAAATCCGCATGTCGAGCGTGGAGATTATGGTGCAAAATTTAAAAATCAAACGTGAACTTCTCCTGTAATAATGAACACATGAATGACATTACCTTCTGAGAGTACTTGTCAATCTAAACGCACTTGTTCTCACACATTGGTGTCCCTTTAATGGCCGCATGTGTCAAAATGTCATGGGACTGAGCCATATGTCTTTGCGACTACTGCAGTTTCCCTGTATCGCATTTCACTCCATATGCTGTCTTTTTCGAAAGTTTTGAAGGCACTGCCTGCATCAGTCTGCCACACTGCGTGCTACAGTTATACATTTAAAATGTTTACTAGCAATTTCGGGAGTTCCGGGAGTGCGAGTGGCTCTTTATTCTTTTGGAACTCAGAGCGTAAGATGCCTCACGAAGGCTCTGCGAAAGGCCGGGCTAGACAGATTGTCATCATCAGTGTGGTGTTGAAACTTTTGACAAAGGCTACATTTTTTGGAGTGTAAGCATTTCGTATGCTTTGCAGTCGCAAGAGCATTAGCATCATTAGCTGGTTTTTGTGTGTCCTGCTGTCTGGATTTTTCAGTGCTTATTTACTTTGTAATTTATTGTTTTAAGCCTGCCTTTCTGATGGCTTTTTGACATGTGCTTTGCATTTTTAATGAACTTGCTGTGCTAATTGGCAGAAGTTCTAGCAGCTTTAACTTGCGTACATTGAAAGTCTGCTTATTTTTTATTATGAGCACTTTTGCCTTAGGAATTTCGAGTTCTATTCTTGTCTTTGGACAGTGAATGTTATTTCAATAAAGAAAGTGTCTCTCAACTGGGTCTATCCCAGGGATATGGGACCACTAGTGAATATATTAGAATGAATCTGCTGCTTACCAATGAAGTGTGTCTTATTTTGTGGAGTACAAACGAGAAAATGCAGCACGGTTTTCAGCAAGTCAGACGTGACGTATAATTCAAGTAATATTGTCATGGTTATTGGTCCTAGTCGTTGAACATGATGTATCTATGTGCTGAAGTATTATTATGGCATCTGTGATCGTCGTCACCACATGATTGTGATCCCGAGAATACTTGTTGTGTCACTGTAAAATAAAGTTACGACATGCCGATAAGACTGTCCTGGTTTCAAATGTTATTTTCTTGACTATGAGCACTTTCACCTGAAATGTGGGGTAGTATGTAGCCTAAACTGTACTAAAGCTTTGAATAAAAGTTTCACTAATTGGCAGTCATATAAAAACCAAGCACAAAATTTTGCTGGGCAGCATGAAGGGCAAAAAATCTTGCCGATAGGTGTACCAACATCTTTTTTAATGAACATTAGCAAATGCTTTGCTTCGTGCAACATCACTTTCCACGACATCAGTTGAACATGCAATACTTTTTTTTATAGTATATCATGAATCGATTCAATTGCACATCTGCTTGAACATGCGTCTGATAAACAGACGCACAAGAAAAATGAATATGCTTAGTTTCTTACAAATGCACGCCCATATCCTGCATTGTTCGCTAGATCTCTCATGCAGTGATGCACCTCGAATAGGATGTGGTGTGTAAAATACCCATTTTATTTTGAATTCATAATACAGCATCACAAACCTTAAAAAATTGCACGTATTATAAAAACATCTTACAAGAAGCTCTTGGAATGTTACATTTAAAAAAAGCATAGCTTTGTATAAAAGCTGTCGCTGCACGGGTGGCAGCTACAGTAGACTCTCGTTGAACGGAACCTGAAGGGACCAAGAAAATGTGTTTCATTTAACAGGAGCTCCGTTTACTGAGAGATGAGCAGTGGTGCAGAATTCAGGTACGAAACCAATTGCGCTAGAGGAAGCTGTTCCGTTTGAGCAGCAGTTCCGTTTAACAGATTTCCATTTACCGAGAGTGCACTGTAGCTTGAACGACAGTTCCGTTTGGGCAAAATTTTATTGTGAAGGGTGTAGCCTCTGTAGTGAATAAGCTGTGTCAGTGCGCGAACTTCACTGCAGAAGTACGTATCAGAATGTAGACTTCTCACACACACACACACACACTTGCTCCTACTGCTTTCTGCACAAACCTTGCCGAAACACAAGCTCCAGCTCTCGCTTCTCCTATTCAATTATCTAGACCCTTGAAATGCACTTTTTAGGCACCTACTAGCCAATTAGAATGAAGCTAGATTAAACAAGGCGAAGTGAAATTGTGGAGACCTGAAGCCTCACCTTTTTTGTTCTTTCATTCTGAAGCCTCACCTTTTTTTCCATACAGAAATGAACTTTAGTAAGCTGAAGCACACCAGTAAACACTACAGCACAAACAGATGTGTTATCAATCACATGAAAACTAAATGACAAAGTTGACAATGGTTGCACATATTGCGTCATGGTAGACTACTACTGTTTTGTGAGGTATGATCAGATTTGGGTGCACTTTAAAGAACCCCAGGTGGTAAAAATTTTTGGAGCCCTCTACTTCGGCGTCTCTCATAATCATATGGTGGTTTTGGGATGTAAACCCCACATATCAATTAAGTTGTAAGGTATGAATAAAATGTGTTTGATAATGTAAATTTAACCTGATATGCTTCGCTGTGTGCTATTTAGTGAAATTGAATTAGACTTCATTATAGGGTTGCCACATGAGGCATTTACATTTTCTAGACTCCTAATTGGTACTAATGTTTCACTTTCGAAGTGTGACAATTTCGATTTATAGCGCATCAACGGATGCTGAAAAAGTGCATTTATGGGTCATAGACATCCGACTACAGAGTTTAGCGTCGAAGGGCTTCCGGGTAGAAAATGTGGCCCCCTGTGTGAACCTTCTGTAATCACAAAGCACCAACAGTCTTCTGGAGCTGTTTCTAAACCATCCACATTAGGTCTATGCACGGGTGAAAAACACTTTCTACTCCACTGCAGCATGTACCCAAGGCCACAATATGGCAATATCGCGTTTCACTCATCGATGATTGCATAACATTTTGTTCTGTTGCTAGCTTATTCTTATTGCAGTAGTAGTAGTATCTTGTTCCATTAAAAAAATGTTTTCCTAAGTTTGTAGCACAGCAGTAAAAGTGGCCAGGAAATAAAAATGCGTGTGAACAAAGCTCTGGAGTAGAAACCTCAAACAGTCAAAAGTGCTTATCACAATCCTTGGCGGCAAAATTGTGAATGTGTGTGCATACAAGGTGCAGTGGTTACTGTCCCGATTGCATAAGACAATGTCATCATCTTCAAAGATCCATTTATGACATGGCCAGCAGATTCCCATATGAAGGCCAAACATTCTTGATAATGCTTGAGCAATATTTCATTCTGACCAACCAACTGCTGGCAACTGCTAGGTTTTACAGCAGCACGTTACTTTAAGCAGCTGTTGACATCACAGTTTTCTAGGTTTCCTGTTGAGAGTGAGCTTCATTTGCAACCACGGTTCTCAATTAGTTTGCCCGCCTGAATGGTACCCAGGCACAAAAATGCTGGTTATTTCTACACTTTACAAAAAAAACTGAATACAAGCAGTGGAACATGCACAGCGTAGCACAAAAAACTTTACACTTCTGGTATACTTTAAACATTGAAATGGTACATGTACACATTGTAGGCTTTGCCAGCATGATGTCAAATTCTTGTGTAAAGCTTTGCCCAGCTTATTGAAGTCATGATGTGACACAGCTGCGCATGCATCTCAAGCTAAGGAAATGTTATTCAATCAATTTAACATAATATACATGATTGTCTTTCAATTTCTATACTACCGTTATTACTCTTTTAATCAGTTGAAATCCAATGTGACACCTTGTATGCATACACATCCAGCCGCTGCAAACACTTATGCAATGTGTGAGAAATGAAAGCTGCTCTGTCGACACAAAAATGCAGATTACTTCAGTCACACTTGCTCCGACTGCAAGGAAGTTTAACTTTCCCGCAAGTACTGTGGATTGAAAATGATGAATAATTTCAGTCAGCAGCACATTTTCAATGCACGTCGATGAAATGCAATGCTCCATTGCCAGTAACTGAGTATAAGTATGTGCTTTGCATTAAAAAATAGAATAAATCGCTAAAAGCGTACAGCAACCAATCCAAGTTGTTGTCACACAACGCATGACATAGAGGCTAAAACTAAGAACGAGCTGCACGTAATGTACAAGAGAAATGGGAATGGAAGAGAAAAGTATCTTGCAACGTGAACAGTCCCCTTTAAAGGCTTGATTTCATTAGAGGGCCCAGGAATCGGTGGTAAGATTCGTGCACCTAAAAAACAGCAACAAAGACAATAATGAAGGTTAAAGAAGACTTGTGTACAGCATTCTCCTGCATATAGTCCTGCCCTAAATATAGATAGGAGGACTGGTTCACTCACAAAAGTTACCTGATGATGTGCCGCGATAACTCGAAATTAAGGCAACACCAAAAGATTTAGTATATTTAGGTAACTTCTCACAAACATCAGCATAAAGTGAAGCTCCAGAGAAATCTTGTTACCTCTAAGCCGGGACGTGCAAGAATGACACGTGAAATGTCGGGACAACACAAACATTGTTTCACTAGTTTTGCATTTCCAGGTCCTGTAAACGTTTCAAAGAAGCCATTGGCTTACATGTAACCCAGCTTTAATAAGCATGTTCTCAAATTGTATACACCTAATTTCTTGAATACTTTGCACAAGCTGATGCGTGAAAACACAGTATAATATGGATTGATCTTAACACCTTTGCGGATTTAAAATGGTTGCAAAAGCTACCCTTTAGGCACCATGCTCCTGTTGAGCACATAACTCAGCACAGCTAATTATATAAGCATGGCAGTATGCTATACTACTGGTATGCTATACTACATGGCGGTATGCTATACAGCTGACTTGTAGTAATTTGTTGCACTCAGAACTTCCCGCTGTCCACGGCAGTCTCCCATCAAATCTTTACTTCACGCCACACTTTTGAAATCCTGCGAGAACCACAGAAACTGTGTACCTAAACCCGAAAGAAATGCCAGAGTTATTATTCACACACTGCAAACTGTGGTGTGGCACATGAAACGACCCCGTCTCTAAAGTCTCCAACTGCCGCCACAATAAGCAAACAATTAGATGCAAACACCTTAGTGACGGCTGGGCTCGCGCCATCCAGAAGTGTTCGCAAGCAGATTTCGCTGTTCTCAGACCAAGTGCCTGTGTGTGAAACATTAGGGGGGCACGCTCACCGATCAAGCAACTCACCTGGGTCTTGTTGAGGGGAGCTTTGAGGGCACTCTCGAACATGCGCTCGTACACTCGGCCATCGTAGGAGCCGAGAGCACTGCAGAGCACCATGTCGTGATGGTCAAAGGCGTCCACCAGGGCCACAGCGTCAGGCCGCAGGCTCTTGAGCAGCTCCGTGATGATGCCAGATATTTCCTCGAGGTTCTCATCGCGCAGGCCCGCCTACAAACCAAACGGACACAAAAACGAAATATGCTGATTCCGGCATCTACATGCTCATGTGACTGGCAGGATGACTGGCCCTCCTGCATGGGCCAGCATATTGGCCTGCAGTATGGATAAAATAAATAAAAAAAAAAGACTGCAACTAAACAGCATACACGTACCCAACAACATTGCGTTGCACGCTCGACATGCCATTTGGCGTAGTATGCAACAATACATACCAATCGACCACGAATCATGCTGCACATATCTGCAAGCCGTGATCATATGTGTGTGACGTATGAAGCGATTGTTGGTAGAAGCCGATGAAGAAGAAGTCAGAACAGAATAAACATGGGGTATGAGCCAGGCCACGTTGCCAATACATCATAGTGTCACACGAGTCGGCAGGATGAAGACGTGGTAGCCACTTCATCAACCGGCCATCATCATCGAACACCCCAGCCAGACGCAGTGACTGAATATGAACCACACAAGTGCATCCCAACTCTACACCATGACCAGCATCATGACAGCACCATCGGCTGACCTTCCCATCCCCAAATACACCGGAGCAGCGGACGATGTTTCTGTACAGGACTGGTTCAACCTGTTTGAGCTCCACGCTACCGCTGCATCATGGTCGGAACGGGAGATGGTTACGAACTTCAGCGACTACATCACCGGTGAGGCATTTAAATTTTACCTCACCCACATATTTGACAACGATGAGTCTTGGCAAAAGATAAAAGAAGAAATGATCACCTGGTTTCAAGACTATAATGAAGATTCGATTAAAACACGCACTCTCATTGCATTCGAACTCTGTCATCGCAGTCATAAGCAGCCTTCACGCATTAGACCACGGATCATGGATTTACAATTCCCGTCAGGTGAAGCTAGCCACGTGCTAACAGAAAGACCACGCGATCGTTTTCACAACCTTCCACCTGGTTCCTCATCAGCGCAATTATCACCAATGCTTAACTCTTCGCTGCATAAAAGATTTGAATCCACTATTTATGACCCAGGTGCATTTAATACTTCGTGCGGCATGCGTACCTTGCAAACTAACTTGGTATCACCTGTCATCAGCATTACTGATGAGCCTGAGGAAGCACCTCATAAGACCGTCGCATTTACGCATGATGAGTTAGTAAATCCGCGCGAAACCAAACCAGACAACGAATGTTCACAGAAATCTTATTCGGTCAAAGTATTCAGCTCAGCAGCTCAACAAAGACAGAAGCATTCACAATCAGCATCTTGTGAAGAAAAGTCTTTTGCAGAAGTGTCTGGTATTCATCAATCAAAAGATCAAAGCGACGTGAATCTATTATACAACCTCACTGCCAAAGATGAAAACAAAAGTCCAGGTGCTACTTCGGATGACACAAGTACTCTTCAGGCAACCACCAACAATGAGCAGTTTATAAATACAGAAGATTCAAGTGCGTGAAACCCCCCACATTGTCTTGCACCAAAACAGCTGCATTGGTTGGCGTCGTAGAAGCCTGCAGAGGAATCGCTAAGAATCCTGGCACACCACGATCAATGTCACACCCCAAGCAAGTCGACGAAAGCAAGAAACTATAACGTCAACGTACGCTTCAACATTGTCAACGACGAAAGAAACCTTCATCTAAAACACTCTTAAGGCTCAAAGAACATAGCGAAAAGGCCCATCGTCGTGGATACATTCTCTACCAGAGATCAAAAATGGGCCTTCGATCAAAACATCTGCGACATCGCTATGGAAAGTTTTCCAAAAGCCACAAAAGCACCCCTTGTACTCGGCAGGAACACAGGCAGCGCCCAATCAACCTCGATTAACGCGCACGCAAACTGCCTGCATGGCCTGTGTATCACCCACGACGAGGAATTCGATGCCTACAATATCGGAACTGTCGATTCTGCAAGATGTTCAAGCCTCATACGTTCTTCACAAGAATACCAGCTGTGATTACCCCTATCTCCACGTCCAAAGAATTTTTGTGTTATCCAGGACGCAACCACCAGCCTCGCCCACCAGAACTCCTGCGTTAACCGGACTGCTGCACTCTCCCCTGAAGTCACTGAACGTTTACGGAACTACCCTGGAGCATAGGACCAATTCTGAATTTTGACGTTAGTGACTTTTTAACCCGGAGTCTCCTTGTTTGCTTTTTCTTGTTTGTAATCCATGTCTTCTTTCGGGGGGAGGGGGAATCGTGTGACGTATGAAGCGATTGTTGGTAGAAGCCGATGAAGAAGAAGTCAGAACAGAATAAACATGGGGTATGAGCCAGGCCTCGTCGCCAATACATCATAGCATCACATGTGTTTATATTGTACTAGTATGTATTACGTTAGGCTGCTCATATACAAACAAATTTTTGTATAAACAGCAATCGTTGCATCTACCACAGCACAGGAATCACATTAAAAGTTTTTCATACGTCTGCACATGCCAGGCAAAATTTCAGGGGAACATAGCTTGAATACATAGATGAAAAATGAAAGATGAGGCGCTGCTGGAGCCAATGTTTTAGGGTCAAATTGCTAAACTGGGCGAGTGGAAATGAAAAAGAAAACAGTAAAAAAATAAAGAAAGAAGAAGAGAAAAAGTGAAGGGAGGTGTTGTGGGGGGGGGGGGCATATTCGTGTTGAAAGGGTAGAAAGCGAGCTATGTATTTAGCTGAATCATGAATGTCAAATGTAGGCTCCACCCTGACAATGATAACTTCACAGTAATAAGAATGTTTAGAAATTACAAGGAGAAGGGCTTCATTCTCACTAGTCTCGAAAATGTTTCGTGCACATGCCAAGTAACATCGACATTCATTGATAAGATCTTCTCTGCGTTTGAGTGGTGCCAAGCTTGAGCAGGCCGCTGTACTACCACTCTATCACTGAAGCAGTGCTGGTGGTGCTTCGCAAGGAATGAGGCCATTCTTAAGCCATGCTGACAGTGAAAAGTTACAAATAAAACAACTAGGCTCACCACAAGGAATAGGCCTGGCTGCTCATAGATGCCATGCAGCAGGTACAGATGGCACACCCTCATCAGGACTTCCCTGAGCTGTTCAGATATGGCGGCATGTTCCAGCCAATCGAGGTAGTTCAGGCCCATGTAGTAGTATATGGTGGCCTGGATGAAAACACTGATCATCAGCATTTTTATTCTTACAAGAACTCGGCTGAAACAATAATAATCACTCGCTGGATATTTATGCACATCCGCAAGACGCGATGCAATTTATATCTATTATACGTCATGATTAGTATTGCGAAAAGGAACATTCTTAGTGGTTCACGATAATCAAATAAAAATTTAGCCGAAACTGATTATTACCCGAGTCAACCTAAAAATATTACTACTAATGATGACGGTGCTTCAGTAAGCGAGATAAATAAGCAAATCTAAGAAATGAACGGAACACACAAAGAACGCTTGAAAGATGCATGGTGTTCTCACTGAACATATGTGTTATGAGAAGGAACCAACTGCCACAAGGATATTGTTTAGATCTGGGTGCCTTGAATGACGTGAATCTTTTGTATCTGCATTCATAACATTTTTCATTCAGTAAGTGGCTAATTAAGACTTAGCACCTTCACTCACCCTGGATGCAATGATTAGGTCGACCTGACTCTGGTTCCACGCCACCTCCTGGGTCACACCCGTGCTCACCAGGCTCCTAACTTTGTTGTGAGCTCTGTGAACGTGCCTATTTAAGGGAAAAAACAACCAAGCATTTATTGCATATTATTACACATGAAACACTTGATTTACTTGGGTACACTTTAAGTCACACATAGCACATGAGCAGAGCGGTTAAAAGCATTGGGCACGTTAATATGATTTCTTTTGAGCACTCAGAAATGTTTCCAATATGCTGATCGTCTATGGATAGCCAAGGAGGAACCTTTGAAATGAAGTGCTCCTAGTTTGAACTCAGATTTGACCGTTTGAAAACGAAGACAAAATGAAGCTGTGCAAATAGCAAAATAATGAGGGCCAAGCAAATTTGAATATTGAAGTGCGAGTGCAAATTGAACAAAGTATTTTGCAAATACTTTTCTTACACTTCGAAGCGAAATTGCTGAAAAAGAAGATACAAATTTCAAGACTATTGCTTAGCATATTCTTACCAGATAGCAGCATCAGCGTTTTTCTTTGGCTAGGTTGATTAAGTGCTGGCGGGGTGGTTTTAAAAAGCTGTCATATAAAAATGAGGCAATCCAGAGGCCAAATTGTATTTATGTACATAATTTGGCTAAACCAAGTGCTGCCGATAACACTTTGCACATGGAAGGCAAGAATGCTATTTCTTCAACCCCTTTCAACTTCTGTGGACACCCAACTGATGTGGCCAACAAGGGCATGCTCTCTTTGAGTCCCCAGTTCCAAATATGCCTCATACATGTCAATATATCAAAACATGTTAAATTCTGGATGCTAATAACCATAGGCGTCGGATATTTCAGACTTCCTCCCCGAATTTCAGGTCCAAAACAGCGTTAATTGGGACCCACCTCTGCCACATTTATAATTTGCATGTTGGAACAAGCATTTTTTTTTAGTCACTAAATTTTGCAACCGTAGCAAAGACTGACAGGCAGCTTTGCCGCAGTAAAAGAATAGAATGGGGTAAAACATATTGACAATCTGAAGTGCCACTGTCAATCGAACGTTGCCTGCATTTGTCTTCGGGAAGTTTGAAGAGTATAATTCCAGTGCGAATCGAATCCAATAGCAAACACTATTAGAAAAATATTCAAAATTTCGAATATTCGCCCACTCCTACTGAAAATTGGTTCATGTCCCCTCTAAGATGTTAAGGTATGAACAGACTGGCGGAGCAGCACTCTGCTAAGTGCCTGCTCATCGTTCGCTCAACGCCGCTTTTCTCTCTCCTGCGGAGCATCAGTGAACAGCATGCTTCTTGCTGCGCGGAGGCACCAATGAGCGGGATGCCGCCAGGGCGAGCTGTCAGCCAGTGTGCACGTACCTTTACATCCCCTTGCTTCAATATGCACGCTTCACGAGCTTTTTGCCTCCTTTAGCTCTTTGTGAAGCAAGCACCAGCTACAGTTCAACAGTTCAATGTCTGCAATGTATGTTTCTAAATGGCATCCAGGGTAGGCAACGGCGCCACTCACTTATACGCAGCTGCCCGGTAGAACGGTATGAGCTGTCGGATAGCCGCCTGTCCTTTCAGCTTGGCATTAAACGGAGTCACATTCAGAGTACTTTGTTCGAGCAGAAAGCGGAAGGCAGATTTGTTTGAAACCAGATGTGGCTGGGCCAAGCACTTCAGCAGGTACCTGCGTTACCAACACAAAGCAAAAAAGAATCAAAATCAGGAAACTCCATCAATTTCTCCAAGCTTTAGACTGTCTAATGCAACACTAGTATTTACACCCAACACCCTCAAAAGGACACTTAAGTGAAACATTAAACCACATTAGGCTGATACATGATACATTATGAGTTTTATGACAACAGCAATGATGTTAGAACATAATAATGAAACAAACATCGTCCGAGTAGTTATAACTGTTTCTACAATAAAATGTTGCACGTTTCATCTATTTCCCCCACCAAACCTTATGTTCAGGAAGTATATAACACACTATCCCTTGTGACAGCCATGGGCAGCCCATGACAAACTACACTCCAGTGCACATTTAAATAGTGCTGCAGCAAGCGATCTGTTTCATGATCACATGTGGCAGGACGATTATAGATGCCGCGAAAATTGGTGACGCTCTTTCGAATAGCGATCGCTGTAACATTGGCAGCGTGAGTGAGGTGGGTAAACTCGCCTCGCAAGCTGGAGGAACATGACCGTGTTCTCTCCTTCGTACGTGCAGGCGGCCACTGTGGTAGCGTAAAGTCTAGGGAGGCCACTGATCAGGAGGAAACCATGTCCACCACAGGCCAGGCGGCAAGTCTCGATGCCCTTAGCTGACATATCAGAGCAGAACGCCTTCAGGCCCGATGAGATGGCATGCAGCTGAGAAGGGAAAAAAGTAGAGCAGCATTAAACGGTTTGAAGGCAACAATAACGTGATCTCAAGAAGTGCTAGTCCTGTACTTAAAACAAGGAAACAACCAGGTGCCACACCATGCGAATTGCATAACGAGAGGTTTGTGAAATGCTCCAACACATCACAAAAGTCTCAGGCATAATTCTTCAACGTCGTCAGCCACACCATCAATATAACACACAAAATTTCTTGCAACTGTGTAGTGGGTACCACACTTAAGAATGGCAGAGTGAATGTCTTCCTACTACACAAAAATTATGATTTATGACATAGTGGGTACCCTAAAAGTGTGCCTGGAGCAGTTGCCCAAAGAATGTTTAAAAAAGGCTTTAGAAAGGCTGCTCTTCCAGCTTTAGCTGAAACTGTTCTGCGCATTGTGCACAGGCCTGGCAGTTTATTAGTATTATTTGTTTACCGTAATTACTCGAATCTAATGCACACTTTTTTTCCGGTTAAGCGAGTTCATAAATCGCATGCGCGTTAGAATCGAGTACGAACAAAAAAATTACGGTCAATCTATTGCCATCGCAAATCCAAAATGGCCGCCCCCTACGTGCATCGGCATGGTGCGTCGGCTATTTCTGCCTATGTGTTTACCATGTGCGGCACTTCGTACGTGTGCTGAGGAGTTCGTCATCTAGTAGTGCATTAGCATCGACGACGTGGAAGGGCCGACTCCAAAAACTCGAGTGCACCACGATGCCGCTTTTAAAAGAAAAGTCATCGCGTGTGCAGAAACGGACGGAAATCGGGCCGCATCGCGGTCGTTCCCGAAACGTGCGTGCGAGACCGGCGGAAACAAAAGCAGAAGATTATCGACAGCAAAGCTTGACGCAAAGGCTTCAGCGGACCACAGCAGGGTCGGTTTCCGCAAATTAAAGGGCTGCTCGGCGAGTATGTGCTTGAGCAGCGAGCGGCACAGCGGCCCGTGACGACAGAACTGCTCCAAGTGCGGGCTATGCAATTAGTCTTAGAAAAAGGTCTAATGCGGAGCCAGTTTAAAGCGAGCAGGTGCTGGCTAATTAACTATACGAAGAGGAAAGGCTCTTCCCTCCGAAGGGGAACATGCATATGCGAAAACTTTTGCGGAGAAGTACGATGAAAAGCTTTACAGTTTTCAGAGGTTCGTCCTAAACTTGCGGCGCAACAATGGCTACCTGCTTGGGCAAATCTGGAATGCCGATCAGACGCCTCTTTACTTTGACATGCCTGGCACCACAACTGTCGAGAAGAAGGGGGCAAAGCAAGTTCGCGTGCTGACATCGGTCCACGGTAAAACTACAGTGACGGCAATGCTCTGTTACACGTCAGATGGGCACAAGCTTCGCCCGTACCTCATATTTAAATGGAAGACAATCCCGAAAGGAATAGTTTTTTCGAGTGGTGTGATCGTGCGGGCCAGCGAAAAAAAAATGGGTGTCTTACGTTTTTTTTTTTTTCGCGGTGGAAATCGGGTGCGCGTTACAATCGAGGGCGCGGTAGAATCGAGTAAATACGGTATGCTACATCTCTCTTTGTATGAAGTGCACACGGTCATTGATCTGTATTGTACCTCGTGGGTGCGTTTATTGTTTCTGAATAGATATTTGAGAGGCTCCTACATAATATTGGGGCAGTTGCAGGCATCCAGCATTCGAAATGAAGATACAAAAAAGTGAATTCTATTTTGTCACATCTCTCTACAAATCCTATAGCCTTTTCCAATTTTCACCAATTACATTTTCACCTACTCATTACTCTCTTTCATTCACATACCTTCCTAAATATCTGTGCTTTCTCTGTCTACTTGCAGATATAGAGAATTATGCTGTTAATTGTTTTACTGGTCTGCCTCACAACGCAGTAGTGAGCTACATCTGCATTTTCAGACTTCCCTGTCGCAACATATCTGCTGGCCCTCCTAGTTTAAAAAAAAAAAATGCCATTTTTAGAATCGTAAAAAAAAATATAATATAGCCACTATGCGAGTCTGCATGAAAAAATACATATACGTATGTAATGGCAGAGAAGATAATCAATGGACCAAAAACGAATGAAGGCAGTATGGCATTTATTAGTCTTTTTAGCCGTGTTGGATGTTGGGTCATGTTTCTAGTTTCGGAAGTTTATTCTATTTGCTTGTCGTTCAAAGTTTCCAAGTGCCTTTCTATCTAAACTTATATTTTCATCCTTCATTTATAATTGTGTTGTTTACCTGTTTAACGATCAGAAATTGGAAATCACACCTTGTTTACCTGTTTAACGATCAGAAATTGGAAATCACACCTCATGCCTTGCTACTGTTATAATAGGTTAGGCTAGGATATGGCTTGGGTGGAAGCAGCCTCAGAGAACGTTGTCTGGAAGAGTTCAATGCGAAACAGCATGACTTCGTATTTAATTAGAGACAGGTTCGCATACCTCAGGCAGTGCCTGCAGGTTTCCCTGCTCAAGGTCTTGGTTGGCCTGCTTGTAAAGCTCCATGAGGTTGGCAAACATGCCACGCAGGGCGTGGCACAAGCCCAACAAAGGGAACAGCTTGTACTGCTGTGCCTGATAGTCCAGGATCTGGCACTCACCCTGCCTGCAAAGCACATGCATGAAAGGAGCCGAACTTTGAGGAAACACCACAAGCAATCAGAAAACAAACAAACACACACACACACGCACACACATACACACACACAAACAAGGAAAGAAGAAGAAAACTTAGCTAGTGCAAGGCTGTAGAAACAGTGCGGCTGATCGGCGACTAGCTGGTATCTTTCGGACTATACTAAGCTAAACTAAGCATATGAGGCATCTATTGATCATTAATAAGAGATTAGCTACCAATAGGCTATTACAAGGTCTTGGCCATGCAACTTGGTCTGGGCCAAGCTCAACCAAGTATTTTCTGAAATTTATTGGTTATAGACAAATCGATTCACTATTGGTTGGCTATCGAGTGGCTGTCACATGGTATCGCTTGCTAGACTAAGCTTAACTAGTCTCAACCATGTTCAGCTAGAATTAGCCAAACTTAACTAATCTTGACTTAGACCGTCTAAGCTTTGCAAGGTCAGGCAGAGTTTTTGCAAACGCTGTATAGATCAATGGCGAGCTTAAACATGTCTGTTAAAGTGATGCAATGTTATGAAACACAAAGCTACCAAAAGCGAAAAAGACACTGAAGAAAGATAATGTGAAGAAAAACTCGAGCGTTATAGTTAAAAATGGACATTTCTGTATCTAATTTTTTCATTTGTATAAAACATTGAGTATTAAACGAGATGCTGTTTCTGGTAATTGGTTTATGAAGAAAAATAAAGACATTCATTCGGTCAGCAAGTTGACAGTGTTCCAAACTTTTGCCGAGCTAGGCCAAATTAACAATGATGATAATATACAGCATTTGATTGCAACTAATTATGGTCATTCAAGTGTCAGACAAGACTCAAGAGATGTTCCTATGAAAAAAAATGGAGCTACAGGAGACTTTCAATCAGAAATTTGCTGGTCAAAGTATTGCCATTAAATTTTTTTATTGCGCTGTATGCATTGAGACAAGGTTTTAGCAACCTTTTTCAAGATCTTAATTAAAGAAAACTTGGTATCAGATACGAGTGGAACGAAACCACGCGCTCTCGTCATCAAAGCTCACGCCTACCTGGTTCTTCTATTAGCATTTGCAAGAGAGTGCTGCTCACCCTGGTGTAATCTCAGACTGCCTGCGCACCGCGCTGTATCGTATGGCAATCGTACATGCCCGGGCAATGTTGAAAGCAAACATGTCCAATAGAAGCACTCGCACAAACACCATGGTGCCATAATTGAGCTTGTCGCTTGCTGGTTTGATGTAGTCGCCTTCTTTTGTTACCTGCAGGGAAAAAATAAAGATAAAGAAAACTAATGGCCATCGAGATTTCAGACAGCTTTTTAGGCGAGTTTACGTAAGCATCTAAATTAATACCTGTGACTGCTGCCCTAGTCTGCGTTATCTCAATCATTATAATTCATATAGTTACAATAATGCGTAGGTTATTAGTTACCTAGTGCATTCAATAATAATTCTTTTATGAAAGCTAAAAAAAGCTCTATGAAACATTACACGCTTGGAATAAAGTTTGCTGTAGTTACTTGCACAATGAAAACGCTCAAATACAGAACAATTAAAATTCTAATACAGTGAATGACAAAGCGCTTTTAAAAAGCTAACGATAGCATTTATTTCTCCTGTATCTATAAATGTACTCTGCGATGTCTGAATATCAGGAACTGATAACAATCCTGCAGTCGGCCATAATGATTTCACCAAAAATAAGCATTAATTTGTTTTCTTGAAACCTAGCCGAAGCAGACAATAAATGATACAGTCGTTTGAATCGTGTTGAAACATAACAAAGTTGATTGCTCTAAAAAGTTTCACAAATTTATTGAAAATTTCACTAATTTAGCAGTTGACTTTACACAGGTGTCATTACCTGGGCATTCTTCATAAGCATGTTTTCCCTGGGAATGCGGACATGGTCCAACTTCAGAAAGCCGTTGTCAGCAGCCCTCATTCCCATCTTCGGCCCGATTTCGCCCACCGTGATACCTGCATGAAAAACAAAGCATACGAACATGAAGTAAAAATATCATTAACTTCTGCATTGTTATGTACAAAGCCACAACAAGGCACACCATAGTGACAGACACTCGTATACTTTTGACTGCCTGCAATTTTTTTTAATACCTGTATTTAAATACATAGGCATCTTTGCGCAGAAGTGCAGTCGCCATGGCTAGGTGTTGAACCCATGCCAGTGAGCTCAGGAGTGCGACATGTTAGCTGCTACGTCGCCAAAGTGAGAGTCAAGATGTTTTAACAGCCATTAAAAAAATGAAACAAACTAGCTTAGTGAAAAGCCACAAAAACAAGTTGTGAAGACATCCCTATGGCTATCAGATAGCTCCAGAATAATTCATTTTTTCAGAATTTACACACAAACTCTAAACATGTGAGAATGCCTGCCAATAAGTTTTCACCAATTAATTAACATACTGACAATGACTCATGTGCTCTAGTGTACTGCCTTCTGCATGCATGGTAAGCAAGTCTATGTAGCTAAAAGTAACCTAGAATGCTGCTATAATATCCTTCATAGCTGGTAAGTTGCATTGAGATCACGGTGTAAGAAATATAATTTAAGTGTGGACACTATGCCCCATGGCACGTCCAGTCAATGTCCGGCGCTGTCAGTCCCTCGAGCCCCCACCATAGATGACGAGCTGTACTATAGATGACGAGCTGCGTATGTAGCTTCTGTAAGGGTGTTGCATACGAAAGAACACTATAGAGGCAACTGCAGTGTTTTCCGCATGTAGCGTTTCTTGTGAATAAAAAATGCGGCTTGCACTTCTAGCTTTAGTTACTAGCATGTAAGGTGTGTTAAAAAATACACGAAAAAAAAAAGAATGTCCATCTACCTCGTTGGGTTGGCTCCCTTTAGGCCTCCAAGTCGCAGAACCACTTCGCAATAGTGCCACGATACTGCACCTGGCAAAATTACTAAAGCCGAACATTATCTGGACGTGGTCTCCATCGCGACAGGTTATAGTGTCCACACCTAAATTATTTCTCTTACACCGTGGTTGGGACATTAAACCCACACAATTCTGTATTCTATTCTACCTACATCTCATCTGCATATTTCCATGTTGCAGTTACTTTGAAGTATCAAAAGCAATGTAAAATATGCAAGTAAAGTACTTCAACTAATTATATTAATTTGACATCGGTGATAATCCTGAGAAAAACAATCACCAGCAAGATGCAAATGTACGCATGACAAATGGGTGCACGCAACCACCAGCAAGTCACTTGCCCGGAAGGGGAGTATGGTCCTCCATGCTTCGGATCTGCACCATGAATGGGTGAATGCCGTGGCACTTTCCCTTTGGTGTGCAGCTGGGCAAGCACTATCGCGTGGTTCGCAGTCTTTCCCACTAAAAGAAAACACAGCTTCAGGTCACAACACAGGTACATTTATCCACAAGTGGTGACAGAATGAGCGATGCTTACAGCTTCCCGGCCACCATTTTATTGAAGACAGGTTCGGTGTGTGCAGGACAAACTCCTCACGTTCGGGGTCGTAGGTGGCTTGTGTTTCGAGACCACGAATGAATGTTCCTAAAAGATTAAAAAAAAAAACTTTTGTACGGACTAGCATAGCCACCCTTGGGCAGAGTGCACCTAAGCACTTTGCATATACAAGCAGCAACACATTACAACAGGCCCGTTGATTGGTGGGGGGGGGACAAGGTACTTTGAATTTGGATAGAGGAAGATATCTCCCCACCTCCTCCCCCGCCCCAAAAGAAATTCTCTAGTCGACAGGCCTGGTAACATTCATTTCATATTGTTGAAGTGTTCAAGCATGTTGTTTTGGAATGGAAATGGAAGAATCCTAGGCATAACTGTCTCAATCCTCTGGGCACCTGAACATTCTGAACCTCTATTCAAGGGAGATCTCATATGTAGAAAGGCAAAAGTTGTCCAGGAACATCAAGGACCCCTCATGAGTTGAGAAAATGCGTACAAGCAGCCAAACGTTAGCCCAAAAAAAAACAGCTTTTTTCATTAGGAAAACGAATGAAATCCCTGGGGTACCAGGATTCGAACAGTGCCGCACAAGTATGACGTGGACTCTACCTCTGGGCCATTTTTGCAGTCTTAGTAATGTGACAAAACAGTGTCATCTTTACACTCTGAGGAGCTTACTTGGTTTTGATAGAGATAAAGAAACAACAGAGCGGTTTTTTAACTGTAATGTACAAAAATGAAAAAAAGTTTTTTTCAAGAGCATGTTGCAAATATTGTGGCAAGCAGTTAAGTCGGTAGGCCATAGACTTCAACAACCCTTTAGAGCAAGAAAAAAGGCTGTCCACATTGCTAAATTTGCCTAGAATCAGTGTTTCTGGTAGCTATACAAAGATCACAGGCTGGCACCTTGTTAAGGTCAAGATAGGTGACAATTTTCTCATATATATACCCCCATATGAAGGAGTAATTAAAAAGAAGAGTCTGTGTTCAAGAATACTGTGTGTCTGTGGAAGAAAGATAGCTTGAACTGCTGAAATGCCTAAAAATATCACTTTTTTGTTTGTTTATACCACAAGTAGTGGCCTGCATTAAATCTGACAAGGAAAAGGAGCCAGGAAGTGAACAAATTAAAAAAACTTATATTTACCATTCCGGTATTCACCCACATGAAATATCTCAAGGAAAAAGCAGCACATTGGATTGACACGTTTTTTTAACTCACATGCCGACCTGTATGAAATGCGATGAGGAAAGAGCGGTATAGATTTTACAGCTTCAAGTAACTTACCATGACCAAGTTCGGTCTGGGCGTAGGAACCGACGATTTTCATGGTAAGGGCATCAGAAAGCCATTTAGCTTGCTGTTCCTCGTTCGCATGACCCATAAGAGCCGGAACAAACATGACAAAATGTACATGCACAGGAGTCGAGTCATGCAGGATTGCATCAGCAACAGTCCTACAAGATGAACAAAAATGGGCCATGATTTTACAGCAAATAGAAAACAGCGAATCAGTGTCTGATAACAAGACATTAAACTGAATTCGATTTTCACGTTGATAAACCTAAATAGAGCAGTAAAGTAATAAATATAAACAACCAATTTTAGTATAGTTGAAATGACTATTTAAGATGATGCCATTTGATTGCTACAAATAGTGGATAAGGGCACTTACAAGATTTCCCTTGGATCGGATAGTACCATAGCCTTTTGGTAAATCTTGAGACATTTTTGCAGTGCATCTGCATATGCCTCTGAGTAGGTAAGGTAGCACTGTGGTACATTGCTTCTGAACTCTGGGTCCTCGTGAAATAGTTTCTCTGAAATCACGCAGAAACCTTTTGATCATAATCTTCCTTGTTTTCCGAGGGTAAAACGATTATTTTAGATAGGTGCTTCGACATGTACACAAGCTCGGTCGTCAAAAAAGAGTTACGTCATCCTAGAAGAATTAAGTATACTGCCGACTACAAACGAAAGAGCATGAACCCCCTGCCATCACTAAAATTCCCTGCGATCACATGCTAACTCATAAAATCAGTCGTAATGATGCAATGGTTTGCGACACTGGACTTTCATAAAACAACGCTGCTTGCGCGTGTGGCATCGCACAGCAGTACGATGCAGCCTTACAGGTTTCTACGGGAACACCGCACAGAATCCGGCGCGCAAATTAAAGGTTGTACCAAAAAACACAGGGAAACCACAACGCTGTTTTCACAGCACCGACGTGAATTTAACAGTATCAGTATGAAATGACCAGGGCGCGACCAGAAAGTGGCAGACTTTCGGGTGGCACGGTGCGCCCAGCAAACCGGCGCTCAAGGAAAAACTTGCAACTCGCAGCGTGGTGACCTTGTGGCCTTGGTTCTGCATGCGTAAATGCACAGACCCGCTAAAAAAACAAAAAAATACAGCCGATCCGTACTCGCTATTGAATTACTGCGCCAATAAAACCAAACGAAACACGGCAGCAAAGCACAGACAGAAACCGAAATCAGACCGATCTTGACAGCCGAGTAATCGCAGAAGCATTTATGTGATTTCGCTAGCGAAGGCCAGTGTCAGCAGCCGAGTAGAAACTCGGAGTATGCTTCGATTCGATCTCGTCACCGGTGTGATGGAACGACGCAGATCAGCCGACGAAAGCGGGACGTGTCACGAGAAACACATCCCCGTACGCACAAGAACTTCCTCGCGCCGTCAAAGTAGGACACGTGTGGTTTCGCATGCTCACTGACTAACGAACCAGTCGCGACCGGTCTAAGCACTCACCTAATTCCTTTCTGCGTTCAGTCTTTTCACTGCCGCCGTCAAGGAGGTGTGTCAATTCGCGAATATTAAAAGTGGCCGCCGCTCGTTCGCGCACAAGCTCTGGGTTGACGCTGCCTGAAGCCATCTTGGATACGACTGCCGACGCGCTAGAGCGCGTTCGCGACGAACGATGGCGCTTGCTAGTCCAGGTGGTTCTTGTTTCGTATTTGTTTTATTTCGAGGCCGACGTTCCTCCTTCCCTGTTGAGGTCACCAAGGAGGAACGTGTACGCTTGTCGTCACGTGCCCAGCCGAGTGAAAGCGCCAGCTTGTGTGCACAAAGTGACATAGAAGGTGACAACATATCGTCGGGGAGGAGGAAGAGAGCGACAGCACGTGCAAATCAACAGCTTTATTATCTGTGATATATCTGTGGTGACAGCTGGAAGAAAACCGGTTGTTGTCTTGATTGTGCTCGGAACGGGGGGGTATTGCTCTCTCGTGTCTGCAACTATGCATGGCTCCAAAGCACTAAACTAATTCGGAGTGCGATGTGGAGTTAGCATGTTGCAACTAGTTGCGTAAGTGCCACGTCGCTGATATAGCAGGAAAAGTAAGCGTAATTCATGCAATGTCTCCTCAATGGTCGATCGTTTAGCTCGTGATCTCGGAACGACTTCGCGAATAGTACGGTTTGATGGTTGTGACGAGCAGCCTGGTAAGGAACGCGCCGCACGATTCGGCCAGTAATGCTAGCAGGCCGCCGGTGTATCCCATGACAACGATAAAGAATGCTCCCTGGAGATCTACGACGCTGATTGGCCTCTCTGCCTTTCCCTTGGTTTGGGCACGCTTGGTGTTCATGCGGAGCTGCCACAAGAAGTCGTTCAGCCACTTCTCGACGAGGCCCGTGAACATGTAGTTCTTCATTCTGTAAGATAAGATATATGTATAGATTTATTAGAAGTGACACGCAAAGTGGCCATAGCATTGCAAATAGCCAAGTAGATCCTCCGTGAAAACGGTAACAACGAAAGCGTTTATTTCGACAGTTTCAGCCAGTCTGGCCTTCGTCACGACGAATTTGTTCCTATATATATTTCCTATATAAATTGTTCATACATACATACATACATACATACACACATGCATACATACATACATACATACTACATACATACATACATACATACATACATACATACATACATACATACATACATACATACATACATACATACATACATACATACATACATACATACATACGTACATACATACATACATACATGACGTCCCAATTATCACGCAGCGCGTTTTAAAAAAAAAGGAACTGCGTTACGCGAAGCAAAGCTAGTGCACAAGTTCCCAGTTTACTGTAGTACTCGATGCTATTTTTTTTCCGTTAACGACAATTAATTATTCATAGTAATATTTATAATTCGAAGAGTACTCGGCTAATTATTAAATTGTCATTAAGGCAAATGTTCGCATGTTGAAAGGATATCTGCCTGTGCTATACTTTAAAAACGTTTTTATTGCATGCCCATTTTTTCCCGTTAGTAAATAAAGCCCAGGAAATCCAAAAAATAACACGTGACTGGACCGCTGCGCGCCTCGAAAGGAAGCGTCCTCCAACGAGCTCCCTTTGAGAGAGCCAGTATAGCAGTGAAGGAAATGAAGAAAGAAAAAAAATATATATAAATCGCGCTATCTGCCACTTCACACCCGAAGAAACGCACCGCCTTGCATTTACTCGTCAGGCTGTAATCGCTCTAATCAGAACAGTGATCCGGCCTATTTATCACTGAGAATAGTTTACCGTGAGATATGAATGAGGATAGCGACGTACAATCAAGCGCAAGGAATCCCTGCAAAACTGCGACTCACGTTGTTGGCACCCGACCTGTACTCTCGCGAATGTGGAAAAAAAAAAAAAAAAACGCTTTCTCTGGCAACTTATAAAGAGACAAAGCGGTTGCTTCCGCTAAGATTATTTCAGGGCGCTGCTTTCTTTTGCGGTTGTGAGTGCAGACACGTGTTATTTTTCATATTTAGCGGGCTTTCTTTATTGACAGAATTGATTGATTGATATGTGGGGTTCAACGTCCCAAAACCACCATATGATTATGAGAGACGCCGTAGTGGAGGGCTCCGGAAATTTCGACCACCTGGGGTTCTTTAACGTGCGCCCAAATCTGAGCACACGGGCCTACACCATTTCCGCCTCCATCGGAAATGCAGCCGCCGCAGCCGGGATTCGATTCCGCGACCTGCGGGTTTATTCACAGAAAAAGATGAACAAGCAATTACACGTTGTTGGAAGTAAAACAGACAGATGACATTTCAACATGTGCACATCTGCCTCATTGGCATTATTTTGGTAATTAGGCGAGTACTTTACGAATCATGAACATGAATATGACTAATTAGTTGAAATACACTAATGACAAAATTAGTAGTGGCTACTTCAGTATACTGGGAACAATATGCACTAGGACTTCTTCACGTACCACCATTTCTTTCTTTTTTTAAATCTTACTGCGTGATAACTGGGACGCCCTATATGGCACCCACAACCCTATCGCATATCCAAACAAAAAAGTAATTCAAATCACAACGAGACTTGTACTCGAATTGAACAGCGTTGAATTTAACAATGAGTACTACATTCAAAGCATCGGCACGGCAATGGGTTTTTAACAAAAACTGACCCCAAACTACGCTAGCATATTCATGCACCATATAGAGTCCAATGATCTTTCATCTTGTGATATCAAACCTTTAATCTATAAACGGTACCTAGACGATCAACTCATGATTTGGACACATTCGGAAAACGAGCTGCTCAAATTCATACAGGCATTTAACCAAGTGCACCCCAGCATTTATTTTACACACTCCTACTCTAACACTGAATTAAGCTTCCTTGATGTAATTATTCGAATGAACGATGGTGCGTTGGTAACTGGCGTATACAGAAAATCTACGGACAGGCAACAATACCTGCACTTCAAAAACTGCCACCCACAACACTGCAAGACCAGCGTTCCCTATTCCCAAGCACACATATTCCGACGAATCTGCTCCCGCACCGAGGACTTTCACAAAAACAGCACACATATGCGCGAAGTACTCCTTCATCAAGAATACCCGCCAGCTATAATTGATGACGCCATGAAAAAGTGGAAAATCTCGAAACCAGACTCTTCTACACCACCAAGAAGACGCCAATCAGCACCGTAACAAAAATTTGCTATATTAACTTTCACGAGCGACACACCGAACATAAACAAGGTCCTAAGAAAACACTTTAGCATATTGGAACAGAACGTGCGACTATCCAAACTTTTCACTTCTACTTCTTGTGTGGTATACAGGCAGCCGAAAAGTATAAAGGATCATTTGATAAATTCAAAAATAGGCGTGGAACCTTAATACAGGGTGTCGCCCTTGCGGAAAAAGCAGATGCAAAGTATGTAAACACATGCAGGCAACGACAGTGGTGGAAAACACCCACTCGGATTTTAAGCACAAGATAAGAGGTGCACTGGACTGCGACTCGGATGACGTCATATACATTCTGGAATGCTGGGGTATGTAACATGCAATACGTGGGCCAAACAGACACTCCGCTTAGAATTAGATTCAACTACCATCGGGCACATGTACGTTCCCTGCCAGGCCCTTCCACTTTTGAAACACAGTACATTAAAAGACCACAGCTTTGATGACATCAGGGTTACACTATTGGAAAGCAATTTTCGAACAAATAACGGGAACAACGGGAATCTCGCTTTATCTACAAATTCAACACGATAAAAAAAAAACGGAATAAGTGAACACCCAGGTACTGTGTCAGCGTTACAATCACTAAAAGACGCAAACGCCCCTCTCTAATTAGTACTCTGCCCCTAGCCTCCCATTACAACAATAATATTACCCCTCAACAAAGCTTTTAGAGTATACACCTGACAATAGAGAAATGGTTTGCCGCTTCAAGAACAGCCGGAGCGCACAGATAGGTGGTCCCGGATGTTGTACAGTTCTCTCTCTCCCCCCTGTTTTTCCTTTCTTTCTTTCTTTCTTTCTTTCTTTCTTTCTTTCTTTCTTTCTTTCTTTCTTTCTTTCTTTCTTTCTTTCTTTCTTTCTTCTTCTTTTCATTCACTGACAGCAGCCAATGCATATAATGAATATTGATGGCGGTGCCACAATTACCGGCTCTTTCATATCTTCCGACTTCACCAACATGCACTTGAAGCGCTTAAGCTCTCCCCACCGATTTGTCGTAAACTTCAAAAGAGGGCAAGTTGCCAACGGATTGCACCGGATGGTGAAATGCAGAAACGGTGGTCACGATGTCCACTTAAGGGAAGGGTGGGTGCTCGGGAGGTATTGTTGACAAAGATGGCATATAGCTTATTTACCTTCGCCTTACTCTGTTGAGTTCCTGTTCCTTCCTAATCCCGCCATGTCTCTCTTGCTTCTCTCTAATGGTTATTCCTCCCTTTTTTCTTTTTTTTGTTAACATTTTCTTTTGTCCCCTTCCCTCCTGTCATGAGAAGCTATAAGAAGACACGAAAATGTGCAAACATTATTATGCCTTGAAAAAGACGGGGCTCCCGTAGAAACGTCGGCTGAATAAACAAGTTGTTATGTGAAAACGCATCTACTTTTATACTTATCTTATAACCTTGCAGCAACCCAAGTTATTCTGCTGCATATAAGCCTTATATATATATATATATATATATATATATATTATATATATATATATAATATATATATATATTATATATATATATATGGAGGCATATGAGAATTCAGCCATTGCTATGAATCTCAACATAATAATCTGAGCAGCAAATAATGACACCTGTGTGTGTGTGTGTGTGTGTGTGCGTGGGTTTTTAGGTATTGCAAACTCTCTGAATGTTGGATAAAGAACGTTGTTGTGAAAGCATGACCCAGCTGCAAAACTTGTCACTGTCATGCCGCATGGCTGGGCACGATATGTCGTTGCCCACAGCAGGCGAAAGTACAGCTCACATTTAGGATGCACTGAGTACGAATGCCGTCATTTTTGTCTGAGGTTTAGAAGCTTGTGAGCCTTTATTTAAACCTTCTTTGAGTTTCGATAGATAACAAGTGCTCTTTCATAATACTATGGCCGCTAAGTTCTGCGCGATAACAGGGTTGTTATAGAAGACAA